GATAGATAGATAGATAGATAGATAGATAGATAGATAGATAGAGAGAGAGAGAGAGATAGAGAGAGAGAGAGAGAGAGTGAAAGAGAATATAAAGATAAATAAAGAAAATTGTAAACGATCTTAAACGACGATTTTATCATAGGAAAGATAATAAGAAGTAAAAACATTTAAATTAAATGATCCTTACGGCACATGATCGATTTTAAATTTTGACTAAAAAATTTATGAATAACGTACCAACATATGCATGTAAGTATTAATGTACATACTTTTAAATTTCTTTCTCTATTTCATTAATGTATTAATGTACATACTTTTAAATTTCTTTCCCTATTTCATTGATAAGTTTAAATTAAAATTAAAATTTTTAAAAAATCTTCAATCAACTTAATTCGAAGTTATTTCTATTGATGTACTTACATATATACGTAATAATCCTTTTAAAACTATAAAAGCATATCGAATATTTATTATTCTCTAGAAAAGGAAATCCATTCGAGGAGAGTTCGATCGATCGATCGATCGAAAGAGAGAGAGAGAGCGCGAGAGAGAGAGAAAGAAAGAAAAAACAAAAAAAAATTTTTTTTGGCAAAAAACAATGTTAAGAGAATAATTAAAGAGAGCGAAAAGAAAGAAAATTCTTCATCTCTTCTACTTTTAATAGATACGAATATCGATTTGGAGCTTTCAAGCTTGCGATAAATCCGTTCTATTTCTCTTCTACGTCGATCATACGTGTTTATCTAATCTCAACGTCAACATTTTATCAACGTGTCGACGTCAAGGTGATACGATGAACGAAAAGCTTCCTATCGAAAAATTCCTATATGCTCTCTCTCTCTCTCTCTCTCTCTCTCTCTCTCTCTCTCTCTCTCTCTCTCTCTCTCTCTCGAAATAATCGACGTGACACCATAAATATGCACGCTATTCGCTGATCGAAAAAAAGAAAGAGGACGCCTTCCTTCGACCGTAAAAATAATCTCGAGAAATTTTATCGTTTTGGCTCGCTATTCGCTTAACGCAAATTCGTTGTCGTAGCATTTGTCGATACTTCATATCTCTTCTTATTCTTTCTCTCTCTATCTCTCTTCCCCCCCTCTTTCTCTCTCTCTCTCTGTCTTTTTTTTTAATTTTCCTTTTTATGATTTTTCTCTATTTCTTTTTTCCTTTTTTTTTCTTTTATCTAAATCCTCGTAGCATCGCACGCACGTTTTTAACTTGTTCGTTATGAAAAATGAAGGAGGACAAAAAGTAAAAATAAAAAAGAAAAAGAAAAAAACAAACAGCCCAACAGAAAGGGAACACACACAAGAGAGTAAGTGAGAGAGATCGATGATCAACGTCGTAACACGCGATCCGATGCTCGCAGCGGTAACCCACCTTGAACAATAGCTAGATTAAGGGCTTTCAAGGGCGGTGTGATAGGCTCGTAATTTCAAACAACGCCAACGCTAATTCGAGTCCGTTACGAATTCTACTCTACATTTATGTTGGCTTAGAGTAGATAATGTGTATAAAAAAAAAAAAAAAAGAAAAGGAAAAGGAAAGATGAAGAAGGAGAAGAAGAAAGGAGAAGAAAAAACAGAAAAGGAAAAAGAGGGAAATAAAAAATAAATCGGATTGATAAAAACATATATATAAAGCCATCACATATTTCTATTTCAAACGATTTTTTACCTTATCTATATTATATAATATATGTCAATAAATGCACGCGCGCATGCGTATATGCATCTATGTATATGTATATGTACACACATATACTCATTGTATCTATAGATTTAAATAAATATATAATTCTGAGAAATCATTCGTACAAAATAAAACATCGAATCGAACATATAATCGTAATCAATTGATCTGATTATATTTATTATTTTATAATCGACATGAGTATATTTATTATTTTATAAATAAATATGTAATCACGTAAAGTCATTCGCAACAAAAGAAAGAATAAATAAATAAAATCTCGCGAACTCATTAATCAGCAGTCGACTAAATTTCGTTTTTGTTTCTGACAATTTATGCCAGATACTTCATTCGCAACTTTAACTTTTTTAATTTTTCTTCTTCCTAATTTTAATTATCATACTTTCAGACAAAATATAATTAACATCATCTGTTCGTAACACATCACGAATGTGTTTATTGTGAAAGAAAAAAAATAGAAACGTAATAAAACGAGTATGCCCAATTAAACGAGATATTAACAAAAATTAAAGGTATCGATCTAACGACGAATCGATTACGATCAATCGAATCGTTCTTACAACTTTAATCGCTAACGAAAAACGCTCAAAAGCTCTCGTTAGAAGCTTTTGGCCCTGTTATCATGACCAATGGTCGTTGAAGATCAATGAAGAAAAAAAAAGGAAAAGAAAAAGAAACAAAAAAAAAAAAAAGCGAAAAGAAGAAAACTTGTTCGACACGTAGAACGTATCTCCTACGTAAGAGATTATTAATCGGTGCCACGTGCAGTGTTATTTGTCTTTCTTATTGTAAAACGATCGTCCCTCTTCTCTCATTTTCATTCCTTTCTTCATTCGTTCGTTCGTTTGTTCGTTCATACGTTTCTTCGTTTCTTCGTTTATTCGTTTATACGTTCGTTCTTCGAATAAAGGCGGGTATTTTAAATGATTACCACACCTTTGTCGGAAACGTTCTTCCATGACGTAACATTATGACCATGAAATAAAAAAATGAAAAAATTGAAAGATAAAGAACGAGAGAGAGAAAGAGAAAGAGAGAGAGAGAGAGAGAGAGAGAGAAAGAAGGGGGGAGAGGGGGGAATTAGAAGGGGAAAAAGAAAGAGAAAGAAAGAATACACATTTCTGCCTACATACAATTTTGTAATATTTTAAAATAAGATATTTTCATGATATTACGTAAGATCTATCAATCTCTCTCTCTCTCTCTCTCTCTCTCTCTCTCTCTCTCTCTCTCTCTCTCTCTCTCTCTCTCTCTCTCTCTCTCTCTTTCTCTATCTACACCTTTTTCCATTAAAAACTATTGAATATCTCACAAAACCGATAATGAATTTTATCGTTGGACAGATAACGTTAGTAAATTGTATTCGCTATCAAAAGTTACTTCAATCAATGGACTTTCTAGAATAATATCAATACTATTCATTTTAACTTCATCAACACTCGAGAAAATATTGTTTTTTTTATTTCACACGAAAGTATACCACCATCGATATTTCTACTATATATTTTTCTATCGTGTATATTGTTATAGAAAAGCAAACAAAAAAAAATATATATATACACATAAGGACGCATATAAATACAAAAAAAAAAAAAAAAAAAAAAATTGAATGAAAGTAACAAATTGTACGTCGATTAAACTCAATATTAATGACTTAAAGCAATGGCAGTAAATATTCTTAGACGAGAGAGAGGGAGGAGGCTGGGTGGGAAGAGATGAATGCAGGAAAAAAAAAAGAAAAAGGAAAAAAAAGACAAACAGAAAACTGAAAATAAAAATAACGATTACGTTGGATTTTCTCTACGTATGTAATGATCTCCGTTGCATCATTCTCATAAATTCTACAAATAACAAATACGTATAGTTTCATAGAAAATTGCTATCGATTTATCGATAACGTTCTTCTCAGTTGTCCAAAAAAGAGAAAAAAAAAAGAATTATATACCGTCCGGATAGTGAATGATCGCACGCAAAAGAGACATGTCAAAGGGAACGATAGATACTATGTCGATCCCTTTGCCGTCCCTTCATCTTCTTTATTTATTTTTTCTTTCTTTTTTCTCTCTCTTTTTTTTTTTTTTTTTTTTTTAATCACCTGCGCATATTTTTCATATACGTGAAAAACTCCTTTGGATACGTATATCATATAAATATATATTGTATACGTTATAAGCTAAAATAATCCACGAATTGAGTTTAGTTTATTTGAGGTTTTTCAAAATGATACCAACGATAGAAACGATATCCGAAATAAATCTGATTATTAATATTTCAATCGAATTCACTTCCGAGGAACGTCAAGAACGAGAACGAAAACGAGAGATTTTCGCGCGCGCATTTTCCGTCGTGCATCCTCAAAATTCGTTAATTAATTTTCGACAGGTGGTAGAGGGAAACAAACGCTCCGGGCCAATTTGTCGGTTGACGGACACGTCGAAAAGTTTCCTAAATGGATCCGGACGAGATAACCCCGTTGGCGAGAATGAGAATAATGATAAAGTATTATGATGAAAGGTATAATAACGATCGAAATTGTAAAATTTTATGACATGGAATGATCGATAATAAAGATCATAAAGAGAAATCAATCGTGAACCTAATCGAAACGAGGCAAAGAGGACGAGAAGAGAAAAAAAGAGAGAAGAAACAAGACGAGATGAGACGAAGTAACGAAAACGTGGTTTTCCGACGTTTCTCTCTCTCTCTCTCTCTCTCTCTCTCTCTCTCTCTCTCTCTCTCTCTCTTCACGATCGAGAAATAATGATATTTTTTAAAAATACAAAGATTTTGTTTTCCTTCATGAGATTCTCCAAGTTCAATTTTTTTTCTTCATTCCAATAAAAAACAAATAAAACTCTTGACTCGTGATAAGAGGTTTAATAGTGAAAAACGCGTGGCCGTTCTCAATATAGCGCGTCAGAAAAAATGTAACCGAATGGAAAATAGGGAAAAACATCGAGGCGCGCGTTTGACAGTTTACCTTAATACAAGGATTTGATTGACGAATGGAGAAACGAACAAGCGAACGAAAGAAAAATAAAGAGGGAAAGAAAGAAAGAGAGAAAGAGAGAACGTGATATTCTCTCTGTCTTTCTTTTCTCCTCAGTCAACCACACACCCCCGAAGATGCCGGCAGGTTATGTCGTATACTACGGCACTGGCCAAACTCTTTCGACCAAATCCTTTGATCATAATAAAAATGTCATTGACGTTTTTCTTTTAAAGGAATAAAAAAAAAGATATAAAAAAAATTGAAAAAGAAAGAAAAAAAAAGAATGATCACTCACCAAATGAAGCACCGTGTTGACAACTTCCCGATTAGACACCTGTCCCACTTCGATCAGGCCAATCAGGACGGCGAATTTCAAGCTGTCGTTCATCGCCATCGCCACCACCTCCTCCGGCCTCTTAATATCACTGAACGGTGGACTCTTCATGTCCGCCATCGCGCCGATTTTCGACTTTGTGGAACGCGGTCCTTCCACAGGAAGAAAATCTACGACAGTTAACGCACGTACCGCCTTATCAACGAGAGCTTTTCACCGTCACATGATAATACAACACAAATTGATCTGCCATCTTTGAGAGTAGACACTGTTGTGAGGAATCTGCCAGTACGCCAAAGGCAAAAGTTCCTAGAACGTGGAGCGCGCGCGCGATAATACGTCCGTACCGCCGTCTGTCGGCTAAGAGACTGAACGTAAATAGCGCACGATGTAAACGTTGAGTGGTAGGGGTTTAATCTACCTATGCTTTTGGAGGGGGGTGACCGCTAGTTTCAATAAAATAACTACATACATATATACGTACGTATGTATATATGCGTATCCTTTTATTTTATTTAGAAAGAAAATGATATAAAGTAAATAATATAAACGAATTAATCGATAAGTAGATAGATACGATGAATTAATTGGAAATAAAAGTAAATATATGTCATTGCTTACTTTGACGTATATATTTCAATTTAGGATTTATCGAAAGATATAAATAGAAAAGATGTTTAATAATTTACGACTATTGTTATAACAATATTTTATTTATATCTTTCTTCCAAATTCTATTTAATTATAATTTTAATTCTATCAATCGAAATGTTTTATCTTTTCTATCCAGATATTTTTTCACTTTTTATTTCTGTTTTATTTATTTCATCTCGTTTATTTATTTGCTTCTCTGAAAGTGCAAAAAAAATTTACTATTAATTTAAATATTTACTATCATATATATGAATATATATATATATATTTATATGTATATATAAGTGCACAATAAATTATTATTGTTTATTCTAACCATATAATTGTCCGACATTACAAATCAATCGTTAAGCAATTATATATTTTTTGTATAATTTGAATTTAAATGCACCGGAAGCTTAACCATAATGATCTATGTTGTATATGATCTAGGGATATTTTTATCGCAACAAAATCTAGTAAATTCAAGGAAATATTTAGAAAGATTTGACGTGATAAGAACATTGTTCGTTCTTATAAGTTTCACTTTTACGGAGTAGTTTAAGCTTTTTAGAATCTATGTATAGTTTAATGACGATGTTGACGTGACAAGATTCTGAAAATATTGCAGACTTCTAATCTAAATTATCTTTATAATGTTCCTAGTAGGCTTGACAGGTGGAATAGCCACTGGAAAAAGTGCTGTGGCTGGTGTATTTCGCGAACATGGAATACCCGTCATTGATGCCGATGCGATAGCCCGTAAAGGTTAGATATGATTAATTGTATTACTAGTGTCACATTGAATACAAAATGAACTTTACTCGTAAGAAGATAAAAGTATTAAGAATTAATGAAAAATATACATCGGCTCGAATTTTTCATTATTACACGATGCACTATTACACTATTGCACGATGACATCGTAGATGATATAGTTATTGTTTTAAATAGTTCGTAGTTATTGTTTTAAATAGTTTCGTAGATGATATAATTATTCTTTTAAAAGTAATTCCTTGTAACAAAATTTTTAATGCAAAAGTTTGTTTATGTAGATTCTTGTACGATATAAGTAAAAGTCATTCAAAATGATTTTTACTTTGTCAAGTATAAGCTTCTTAAATGAATAAAATATCTATTTAAAAAATATAAGATCTCTTATTTAAAATATAAATTTATCGACGTTCATCTTACGATTTAAAAGAAATATTGCTTTTTAATTATTATACTTCTTATATTTATAGTTGTGGAACCAGGAAAACCAGCTTGGCATAAAATACAAATGGAATTTGGTCCTGAGGTATTTCTCAGTACAAAAAAACTTGACAGAGCCAAACTAGGCGATATTATTTTCAATGATGTTGAAAAAAGAAAAAAATTAAATGCTATTACTCATCCAGACATATATAGAGAAATATATTGGCAAACATTTAAATATTTTGTACAGGGCCATTCATTTATAGTTCTGGAATTACCGTTACTCTTTGAATCAGGACATATGTTGAATTATTTGCATAAGATTATTGTTGTAACTTGGTAAGTTGTTTTATTATTATTATTATTATTATTATTATTATTATTATTATTATTATTATTGTTGTTAAATCAATATTAATATTTGTAATTACTTACCATTTTCAGCGAAGAGGATCTACAATTACAAAGATTAATAGAACGTACGGGATTTACAGAAGCTAAAGCAAAACTAAGAATAGAAGCTCAAATGTCTTTAGAAAAAAAAGCAGATATGGCAAATTTTGTAATAGAAAATTCAGGAACCGAACGTGATACTAGAGAACAAACTATTAAAGTAATTAATGTGTTGAGATGTTCAAAGTACCATTGGAAATTACGTTTTATAGTCGGTTTTTGTTGCACTGTTCTTTTAGCTGGTGCATATTGGTTAAGAAACAGATCATTTAAATCCTTGCCAGCAACAACATAGAAATAAGTTTTAACAAAAGTTACAGCACGAATTCTGATAACGATGAGGAATGTATTAAGCCAAATATGTTAATTTAATTAATCTTCCTATTTTTAAAAGAAATGCAATAACTGCATACATATATGCATTGACACACTGCTATTTTCTTTTATATATATATACACAGTGTATATACATATATTTTAAAGTAAAAAATGAAATATATCGATTCGTCGATAATCAAATATACGTACTGAAAAATGCAAGACAGTGTTCTTCACAATAAACGATTACAGTACTGTACATATCAAAGATCTAAAAACCAAAAATAATGTTATGTGTATAAATAATGATATAAATTACAAGCAACTTCCATTTTATATACAATTAAAAATTTTAGAAACACAAGAAAAACTACGATTATTACATCAGAAGGAATATGTAGAATGAAAATAACTTTGTAACATTACGTACGGCATAACGCAACTAAAATATATTTTTGTTCTTACCTAAAACAGAAATAATTAATACTTTGGTTTTTACCAAATATATATTGTAGTATAATATATATTTTTTTTTATCAACTATTTTATGTATTAAGATTATTCTTCTTTATAGCTAATTTTATTCAATTGCATTTATGCTATATAAACTGAAGTTAAAATATACCATAGATTGTACTCATATCAATGAAAGAAAAAAAATGTAATATGTGGTGGTACGTTTAATAAAGATTCGGGATTTTTAACAACATAAAGTTGTTTCTTTAAGAGTTGTTATATAATCAAATTATATAATTTTTTTTTTCTTCTTTCTCTTTCAATAATCCATTCTTCTTCAATTACTTACATAATTAACCAAATAAACCAATAAACCAATAAATACGATATTCGAGAGAAATTAGAACCACAAAAGAAAGCAATACATACAAATCGTGTGAAGATGTATCAACATTACATAATAAATCAAATATTTTTTCATAATTCATTATAAATATTTTATATATCCCTACGCGTCAAAATTATGATTAGAATTCTTACCTTCTTTTCCTTTTTTTTCCCCTTATTTAAATATGACGATTTTGTCAAAAGTTTACATAAATATGCACAATGGGCCTTGATGTGTATTTAATTTATTAAAATATTGCTATTTTATAAGAATAGTCGACTTATTTATTGAAAATGGGAGTATAAACATTTTCTTGGAAAACAATGAAGCAACAAAATATTTACAGCCTTGCATACAGAAAACAGTTACAGGGTTCGCTACTACCTTAATTCAGTGACGAGTCTTCACTGTGACCTAATATATTTCATTCTATTTTGTACTTACATTAATTTAATAATCTAAATGAGTTCCTTCTTACATATTTCTTACTTTACAATTTTTCTCACAGATTCGCTTAGCTATTTTGCAAATGACTATACGCATATATTGATATTTTTTTTGTGATGTTTATCATATAAAACAAAGTCAGTGATTTGTTGTTTCTTTATCAACCTCTACATATTCAATTACGTATGTATTAATAAATCGGAAACAATTTATATTTCAATCACACATTATACTGATTACATTCATACGATCCTCATTTTTCATTACTTTGCAGAGTAAATTTTTAAAGAGATAAGTAAAAATGCGATATTCGAGAGAAATTAGAACCACAGAAGGAAGCAATATATACAAATCGTGTGAAGATGTATGAACATCTTAAAGGAGTGCATGGAAACTGTACTGCTATAAAAGTCGCGTTTTTACGTTTACCCTGCATAATAAATTATATAAATTTTCCAATATAATGAGAACAGCAGTTCCATCAATATTTTTTGGTATTCATTAAAGTCATCCTTTAGATGTACACAGACGCATTTCGGCTAGGTACACACATACGTTTGTTACTTTCTGCATTTTCACCATTTCTTTACGAGGTATTATTATAAAGATATTCGGTCAAAGTTCAAGCCCCAAAGTCACAAATACAGAAAGCAACTATTTATTCCTTGACTCACCTAGTAAACCGAAAAGCTTTCTCCGGTCGATGCATTACTGCAAAACAGGCCTAAGTTCTTGAGTCATGATAGGATAGGAAACCAAAGGTGCGGTTGCACCTGATATTGAAAGAGGTAAACTGGCAGGTTGTTGCGTATTAGGTGGTTGTTGATTTGTCGCTTGTGGACCTGAACCACTCATCGTGATAGTCTGCTGTGCCATGGTCACGATAGGTGGTGGAATCGAGACAGGAGCCATGGACACCGCAGCAATAGATACGGGTGCGACCGTAGCTATGCTTACTGGAACAGTGGCTACACTCGCTGTAACCGTACGTAACGTACCAGCTGCTACAGCGGCATTGACCATTTGTTGTGGAGTAGGAGCTTGAGACGGTGGAACGGTGTTTGTAATTGTAACCGCTGGGACTGTCACAGCAGTCACATTTGCAGTTCGCTTTCCTGACATTCTCAATTGAGCATTTTGATCCAGCAAAAACTCATTGGTTGCGGTCAAATCGCTGACCTATAATAACAATAATAATAATAATAATAATAATAATAATAATAATAATAATAATAATAATAATAATAATAATAATAATAATAATAATAATAATAATAATAATAATAATAATAATACTAATAATAATAATAATAATAATAATAATAACAACAACAACAACAACAACAACAACAACAACAACAACAACAATAATAATAAATATCTGATGATTCACTCGGAGAGTATATTACGAATCCGATGAAGATAATAACCTGTTTCTTTAGTTCCTCTATCTTCTTTCGTAATAATGCATTTTCATCCTCTAAAACAATAGCCCTAGCTTCATTACGAGGTATTACTGGATAATAATAGCCTGGTGTAACCGGCTGTGCGGTATGTTGACCAACGATTTGCGAAGTTTCGAAGTGGACGACCGTCTCACCGGAAACTATTCGTCGCTTTGGCTCCGGTGGTCCTATGTAATCTGTTGGATGCTGAGACGTATTATAGCCATTGCTTGCGACTAAATTGTGTTGTTCCTCCATCGGCCAATGGAAACTATATACAAATATAATTCATTGATTAATAGGCGCTTGACAAATTGAAATTGTTTTATTTTGAAAATCATGGATTATCTAAAAATAAAATGATGATCTAAGAAACATGCCGACATGATTTTATTACTTACTTTCTGTCCTCCTCATATCTACGACTTTCGTTATTGCTAGGACTATTGAAATTATGAGGAGGTCTTGACGCACTGTTATGCGACGTTTGGGTCAAACTATGTTGTGGTTCTTCCTTCTTCACGTGTCTGTATTTACACTGTGTCCTTTGGCAAGTACCTTTAATAAAATCTTTGCAAAGAGGATACTCGGACTTTTCACTATTATTTTTCAACCTATTTAAAACATGAGCCGGTAACTCTCCCGTCGCACGAAAACGTTTCTCTTCGTTCTCCGTACAATGTAAAAATTTACAACCCGGCCAATTGCACATGCCATTTTGAAAGTCATGACAAAATGTGTAACCCTCGACCGGATCATCGTCCGAACGTTCGTGAAGATATTTGCAACGTTTCCCTCTGTGGCAAACATTTCGTAGAAAATCTCTACAGATGCGAGTGGGTGAGGTATCGCCATTCGTGACCTGTCCATCCGACATATTTTTATTTTGGTCGTTCGACGAGTTTTCCACCTTCTTATTCAACTTCTTCATTGCTCTGACATCAGCATTACAAGATTATAATTACGATAATACTCGTATGGTTCGTTTTATTAATTATACTCCTCAGTTCCTCGGAGACGATCTCCTGTATCTAGAGACAAAACAAAAACAAAAGAATCATAAAAAGTTAGAGAAAAAAATAGATTAGAAATTTGTATCTATTATTATTACGTATTACGGTCGACAATAGCGTGTAAAAAGATACATAACATATATAATGTCGTCTTTATATTCAACGATCCTTCAAACCGCGAGGTACGTATCAACGCGTATTTTCCTATCTAAATTACATAATCTCTCGCATCAAAACGTCGCAGAAGCGACGATGCTAACGAAAGGGATCCATTCATGAGAGGTCTACGTTTATTTCAGTAGCATATGGCCAATTGATATAAAACTGAATATAGGCTGAATTATCAAGAGACTGTAAAATACAGATACGCGACCTGTATCATATATAATTCTTAAAAATAGCACTCGAATCGATTGCGCTTCAATATATCTTTTTTAAATACACTCTTTTCTTTTTCTTTTTCTACCGGCTTGTTCCACTTTTTTTTATTAATTTTTATTACTTTCTTTATTTTTTTTTTTTTATTAATTTTCTTCTTTTTTTTTTTATTTCTCTTTCATGTTTTTGATTTATTGTTCGAACAGAAATTTCTTTCGTACAAATGTACAAAAAGTTTCGATAGAAATTTATAATAACAAAATAACAAAAGATTCGTAAGAATAATGATTCACAACTGAACGATTAAATTGATATAAAATGTTTCTTTTTTTTTTTTTTTTCAATTTATAAAATGTCTAAAGACAATACAACTATAATTGATCTATTGTTTACTCTACTATAGTAGTTTCACATGCCTTAGGTCTTACAAAATGAGAAAAAAATACATTCTCAATTAAGTTAATTTTTATTTTTTATGACTTATACATTAGTATTAAGGTTATATCAACAATATTATGTACAAGTAGGATTTGCTATATAAATTTCCACGATTCTCTTGTCTTTCTTTTTAAATTCAAGTGACGAAAGTGACAATCGTGAGAGACTATTTGATTTTCTTTCTCTCGAAAGACAAAAATCGAGAATATATTTATAACCCAATCTCTTCTTTCTTTTTTTCTTTTCTTTCTCTCTTATAATTACGTCTCTTTAATAATTCTTTTAACGCGGAAAATGTTGATCGAGCAATGGCACTCTAATTAAAACTAATGAATCAAGGTACGATTAAATTCGATTATATTCATATAAAAAGAATTCAATGGAAAAGTGTACAATTCGGAAATCTGTCTTTCTATATTTTCTTTCTATATTTTCTTTTTCTTTTTATCAATTTTTTTTTCCTTTTCTTTTTTTTTCTTTTTTTTTTTCGTTTTTCTTTTTTTTCTTTTTTTTTTTTTTCTTTTTTTTTTCTTTTTTTTTTTGGAATAGATGCCTAGATCATTTTCTTTTTATCGCTGTAGGATCGAAAAATCCTTGTACCGATTAGCTTTAAAAAAATTCTACAAGTACATGAGAATAATCTGCTTAATAATTATTAGGTCGGTCGATTAGATATGCTTTCTAATACGATGATATCAATGCAAATGAAGATATAGATCGAGCGTGCATATTTATAAAAAAAAAAAATAAATAAAAAAAGAAATATACGAAAAATGTATTATTTAAATAATAATTAAATTCGAAAATAGTGAGCATTTAAAGCTTTTGCACAATCCGCGTGGACAAAAACACATTGATTAAGAACGCATAGATAAATAGATAATCGTAATTATACACTATCGATAAATAGAACTTGCGGTACCATTACAAAATCAATTTTATTTTAAACAACTCAATCAATAACATGCCTGTGCACGAAGCACGCTTGCGGTGAAAAACTACGCAACACATCTTTTTACAAACAACTGAACACGTGCCATATGTATTATGAAACGACACTCCAACTATAAATGATAATATGAAAGATAAAAAAAAAAAATAATAAAAAATAAAAAAAAAAATAAAAAGAATAAAAAAAGAAAGAAAAAAGTGAACTTTAAACTATTAATTTCAAAAAGATTGTATATCTATCTATGTGTGTGTGTGTGTGTGTGTGTGTGTGTGTGTGTGTGTGTGTGTGTGTGTGTATGAATGAGTATACATGTAATAGATATCGGTGACGAAACGGTAATTTGGGTAAGATAAATTTTGCGATAAGAAATCTTGAAGAAGAAGAAGAAGAAGAAGAAGAAGAAGAAGAAAGATTTACAGCCACCGCACAACACATTTTATAAAAATTTGTTCGCATGCGTGATCTCAACGTGATAGTCGATTGTAAAATAAGACTCTTTTTTCTATACTCTTTTCCCTTTTTTCTTTTTTGTTTGTTTGTTTATTTGTTACTTTCATACTCAGGCAAAAAAAAGAAAAGACATACAATAAACGGAAAATAATGAGATAATATATTGATGAACACACTTTGCTCAGTTAATTTTGTGTCATAGCCACTTGCCATTCATTGATCGATCCAACGAAGACGTTGCATTATAAATAATCGCGACGACGTGTTAACACGAAGCGTGTGGCATTGTAATCCGATACTAAATGCCACCACAACTTTGAAAAGATATGATTATTCAGATTGGCAGCATATTGAACATTTTCAGTGGTATTGTCTAGTTTCTTCTCTAAATATGTTCCATCTAGCCGTAGTTTCATTTTAAATCGATACACAATGCATATGTCCATAGAATATATAATACTGCCTTTGATTTTTCATTCCTCCAAAAGAATTAAAAAAAAAAAAAAAAAAAAGAAAAAAAGAAAAAAAAAGAAAAAAAAAAGGACAAAAAAAAGTAAAAACTGAAAAATTCCTGAATTTGGTTCTTTATGGATACGTTCATTTGTATATCATACTATTTACAAATTTGTTTAATCTTAATCATATAAAAAAACGTTAAATTTCTCAAATAGAGATTAGAAATTTTCCAGACCTAAATCCACTTCTACAGTTATACAGAATAAAACTTGAGTTTGTGATTGCACCACATATTATAGCTAATATTGTTATTTTTTTTTTTTATTTTATTATTAATTATTATAATAATAATATTATTATTATTATTATTATTATTAATATTATTATTATTACTGTAGATAAAAAATTAAAAAGGAGATATATTACTTCTCATAGAGAAAATTATTTACAAAAGCAAAAAACATTAGAAGATTTTTTCTAGCAACATGCAGACTAACGCTATTACAATGGGAACAACATAATGTATTGGCACAGTGTAGGTTGCATTTAGCAGATCACCACACTGTTGCTTTAATGTGGTATATTTTTTTAATAGTTCTCCTCTTTCATCTAAAAAGGCATTGTACTTTTCTTTCACTATTACTAATTCTTCATTAACTTCCTGCATCCTTTGAGCCTCATTTTTCGCACGATAATACAATTCCTTCAACCTATCCATAATGATCTCAGTTGGTTCATGAATCAACGAGTCTCTTAATTCTTCTAATTCCTGCTTGACCACTTGTTGTGCTTCCAGGCTGTCTTCACCTTTTAAAGAATCTAAAGATCCAATTAGAGTGTGCAATATATATTCTTTTGAATGCAAACTCTGTTGCATACTTTCATTCTTAGTCATAGGCTTTAATGTCTTAATATAATCTCCTTCTAGATGATCTTCGTCACAGTCTTTATTTAAGTCAACTTTTTCGTTGACATTCTTCTCTTCAATTTGTTCATATTTTTCTGTTGTTATATTCTCTACTTCTCTGAAAGACTTTTCAGAATCTACGGTATCACTTGCTTTTTCTAATAATTCGTTCTCCTTTTCTGTTTGTTCTGTTGGCTCATAATAAACTTCTAATTGCTCGCCATTTTCATTGGACGCAAATCTAACTTCCGTTTTATGTGGTACAAATATCTCTTTAATTTCTCCAAAGGCATGTTCTTCTTTCTTGTTTTCTATAGTCGATTTTATGCTAACATCATCACTAGCAACACTGCATGTTTCATCCGTTGCATCCGAATCTATATCAGCATCCGAATTAATATCCAAATTGTCTAAATTAGCATTTCCATTTACTAATGTTCTCCTAGATGGAGGCGGCAAAATATATTCTGTTAAATTATCATTTCCCACTGCCAAGTCATCTAATTTCTCTTTTGAACTAAATGATTCAGAATTTACTACTTTCAATTGATTAGAATCTATATCTTGTAAATTAAATTGATTATCTTGTTCTTCTTTAAAATTACTTTCAGAATCCATTTCTATATTGCCAGCACTAATAGAATTTAATTTATTCAAAATTGCATTAATAGCATCAATAGGATTCTCCCCATCTTTTGAATCAAAATTTTCACTTGTAACTAATTTTGGATCCATATCTTGCAAAGTTTGCATATAATTTCTCAAGGCAGTGATCTGCTTAAGAATATTAACTGAACTTAATCTAGACTTTTGTAATCTTGCCAACAAGTTTTGTTCTTTTGCCTCTTGACGTTCCAATGTTTTTAATATAACTTGTATCTCTTGTTCTGCATTTTGCTTCACTACTTTTAATTTTTCTTCAGTTTCCAAAAGTTTATTCGTCGTTTCCTGGAGTTTCTTTTGTACTTCTGTATACTTGACACTAAGTTCTTGCAATTCATTTTGAGTATATTTTGAAACACTGTGCAAACTCTGATTTTCTTCTTCAGTTTCGCTTAATTGAGTTTCTACATGCACTAGTCTTTTAGCAATTTCCAGCTTTTCTTGTAAAATTTTCTGTAATGCTTCCTTTGCTGTATTTTGATATTGTGCTTTTTCCTCTTGAAGTTTTACAAGTTCATTTCTAATCTTATCTTCTGTGTAATTTTTAGAATAAACAACCAGTTGATTTTCCACAGTTTCAACCCATGATAACAAACGATCTTCCGTTATCAATGCTTTCCATGACTGATTAGTAACTTTTCGAATATTTTCTACCAGTTGTTGAAGATGTCCTAGTTTAGAATTGAGCGCCTTTTCCCTCCTAGAAGCTTCTTGTATAACTTGATACAATTTATATAAATCCTCTAAGGAAACATTACTACCTACCGGTGTAACAGATGTGCTAAGACTAGCTTTAGCTTCTTTACCATCCGGCAGATAAAGCTTTATTGTTGCTACTATACAACCATGCGTTACTTTCTTTGTATTCTCTACCACATCCACTCCAAATTGAACTATGTCTCCTGAACATACTTCTTCGGCTGCAGATTCTAAGCCTGAAGTACTTAACCTTTGATTGTTAATGAATGTTCCATTGCTACTACGAGTATCTTGTAAATAAAATTTTCCACCGGTATACCAAAGCAATGCGTGATTCCTTGACAACACTCTACAGTCAAAGATCGCATTATTTGGAGCAGCCCTTACTCTGGCCACTGAACGACCTATTTTCACAGGTTCTTCCAAAGTCAACGTACGTTCTTGAAACGGATGAGAGTTGTCCCTGCAAATCAGGACAACTTTCGGTGCCATCTTATTGTCCTGCATGTTGCTCAAGCTCAGATTGTTATTATTCTGAGCAGCAGGATAATTGGCATTTTGTACCCATCCACCACTGGCTACAACCATAGCCGAATATCTTGGACCAACCAGACAGTGTGAACTCTATTCCAAAATAGCCTTGAGGACGTAATAATATTCTTTAGCGATAGAGTGTCGAGAAAAAATGCGGAAGAGGAAGATAGAAACTCGCACGCGGTATTGTATATCTCATCGAGGATAATCTCGATAAATCGTTTCTTCTTGATTTCGTACTTAGGCACGCACCGTGTACTTCGTACACACCCGAACCTCAGAATTCGGTCACGAGAAGAATCGTGCTCGAAACTCTTGCGACCTACGACTCGTCACGCCTCCTCGTGACAGACGAATTAGCATGTTTCTACGATGGAAAGAAATCTTTATCTTCGTTATTATGATTTTTCGTTGTCGTCTCCCTTTGATCGTTCCTTGTTACCTTTACGAATTTCTTTTTCCGTGCATAGTCTCGTCTCGATACGATAAGATAGAAATGAAAATATGATTCGTATCCTTCCCACTTCGATTTTCTTTTACTGCTTAATGAAAGAATTCACTGATTTGGTCTCTTCTCAAAATCTATGACAACGATTAACAGGTAAAGGTATGTTTCTCGAAATAAGCAGATCGGCCACTCTGCTTCTCTTTCTCTCTCCTTCTCTTCCCTCTCTACACGTTAGCACTTTCCTCCCTCTAAACGAGTCCTCCTTTTAACGCCTCCTTCCTTCTCTCTATCTTGCACTCACTCTTCCACCTTTCGCTTTTACGCTCTATACTCTTATATATTCTCACAAGGCTCAAACAACAAATAAGGTAAACGCGATACTTTTAGATGATACATTGTTCAAAAGTCGAGAACAAAGTGATTCAATCACGAAATGATTTGTAACACTCTATATAACAGTCATACAGTAATACAGAAGTTTGACAAAATTTGTCAGCTGCGCAACTCGACTTGCGCATCGGTCGGCCATGTTACAAGCCGCCAATCGTCATCCAACATCCTCGACTATATATGTATATATACGTACACATAGAAATTGTACGTATCCATGTACCTGTACGTGTATCGCTTACGGCAGCGAATATACCTGAAGCTCGTAAATTGTAACCACTATAGGTTATGTTTTATAGAACTAGCAAACGAAAGAACGAACAGCCTGGTAAGAACCTGTCTGGCTTTATCGGTGGAAAATATCGGAAACAGGAAATTAACCAAAGAGATAAACATGCCTTCTTATCATGATTCTCTCTCTCAAATGAATTTTTATTCAAAAAGAATATTATCTCTATCGAAACAAATATCTTTGAGATGTAAATGATGAAAAAATAAATGTCACGTTTATTAATCTTATATGGTTCAAATATATCAATCAAATTTTATCTTAGTTCATTGGGAATTCTATGAAAATGAGTAATTGCTGATGATGACATAATTGAGGCACGTAAGTACTACGTATTATAGCGTATTACTGGACGAGTTCATTCGAATCGATTATAGCCAAAAGACCAATCGAATAAATAACGACTAAATAATGACTAAATAAAAGGTTAATAATAAACCTGATCACATTATGAATAAACTTTTTCTTCTCATCTATATGAATATAAAAGACGACAAATCATGATATCGTCAATCCTTTCACTTTTGTGTCCTCTTCATTTCGTGCAAATGAGCGGAGTCCCATTACATCACGCTATCTATCTTCATGCTGATCTGAATAATTTCAAATATGCGCGGGCGTTTCTTCCTTGAATATCAATATAAATTATAAGATCTTTTGAAAAATATCGAACTCTCTGTAAACATTAAAATAAATACCTTCGTATTGATTATTTTCTAAGCTTCAAAGTTTTATTATTCATAATAGTATATTGAAAAAGATCCGTTGGCTTATACCTTAATATTTTTCTTCTCCTAATATTTTTTCGATTAAAAATTTTTTAAAATTCTATTATTATATTTTTCAAAATATAATAAATACGAAATAATTCGATCCTCTGACTATTTTAAAAGTTTTTATGATTGATGCAGTTTTTTCTACTACATTAATGACGCCTCTACGAGAGAGACTATGTTTGTTGTACGTTTAGTACGCGTTATAAGCACAGCTGCGTCTTAACCTCAAAATATAGTGTTTTATTAAAAGTATTTCCCAATTAAAGTCATTGTACTAAGAACTACTTAAACATTAAAAAGATATGCGCATAAATATGAAATTTTTATCGATAAATAAATGATCTACTTCTTTAAATCATATATAAAATTTATCTTAAACGATAATTGATAAGTGATACTGACGTTAATAAAAAATTTTTGTCAAAAGTGAAAGTTTATATAAAAAATTTCTTCTGATATTAAGTATAAAAATAACTGAACAAACTAAAATGTCAGATGATGAAGATTATATGTCCGATAAGTTTTTGCAATTGTCCGAAAAATGTGCTACGCCAAGTCTAGTTTATAGACATACAGATAAAAGACAATTCGAATTAGAAAAAAGAAAAGCTGAGCATGAAGCAAAAATGAAAGAAAAAAATAAATCAATACATTTAATAGAGCGTGAAAAACGAGAAGAGGGCATGTCTAATGCCATAGCAAGTAGTAATAAAGGTGAGTTCTACAAATAACTTATAAAGTTAGTCCTATTTATCTCTTCTTTGCTTATAGGTTTTGCTTTGCTTATGAAAATGGGATATAAACCAGGACAAGGTATAGGAAAAACAGAATCAGGTATGATTGAGCCAATTGGAATAGAATTGAAAGCTGATCGACATGGATTAGGTAAAACATCGGCAAAAAAAGAAACCAAATCAAAAATAGTAGATACACGATTAGATAATTCACATATGCAAGATTTCCGAGAAAGATTGGCAGAAACAAAATTAGAACAAATGTTAAAAGTAGATTTATATAAAAGCCAAAAAGTTTGTCAACAACTAGATGCTAAAGCAAATAAAGAAGAACCTTTAGAATCTTGGTTTTGGGTAAATGATTTGGAGAAAAAAGAAGATGAAAATGAAGAAGAAGAAGAAGAAGAGAAAGAAGAAGAAGAAGAAGATATTACTGTTAATGAGAAATTAGATATTCTAACAAAATATTTACGTGAAAAGTACTTTTATTGTATTTGGTGTGGTGTATTATTTGAAGATGAAAATGATTTAAGGGATAATTGTCCAGGATGTACAAGAAATGTTCATTAGAAAGTACACTAAAAATAAATAATCAATTCAATAATTCAATATACTACTTTTATATATTACACTGGTTTTTAATGTTATCACATTTAGATACGAGTTACATATGAGAGAAAATGTTTTACCAAAGGCAGGCAAGTTATTTTGATACAGTTACCCCTACCACGTAGAAAAACATAAAAAAGCTATTAAATACATAATGCAAAATACTCTGAAAAAAGTATATCATGCTAGGAAATCAAGCACATTATAGTGTAAAAGCTAGAAGTGGTTTCACTGACTATTAACTCTTAGCAGGGGTTCAACACCCCAAGCTGTTACATATTGGGGGATACTTTCTTATAAAAGCAAGTGTTTCCTTTTCTCTGGTTTCATTTCTCCTCTGTACTTTGATCAGATCTTTACTAAAAGTAAACTAATCCTGAGAAAAGAAAATATTTAAATATTATTCTCATAATGACAAAATTTACCATATTTTTATTGATCATTACATCCTACTATAATTTTTGTGTTATTGCACAGATATTAGAAGATGAAAATTGTGAAACATTACAATCAGAAATTCATATTACTAAAGGTACAGTATCATAATATACAACTAAGAAAATGAAGAAAAAAAATATATATATATAAATAAATAAACAAAATAAAAAAAGATATAATTGAGCTATTTTCTTTCATAGATGAATATGATGAGGTTGGACATATAAAAAGAACATGCAGTGGTGATATATCAGTTACTAAGTGTGAAGGATTTTGTACCTCACAAGTACAACCAAGTGTTATTACTGCCACTGGTTTTGCTAAGGTATATATACTAATTATAATATATAATAAAGATGGATTGCTAAATAAAATACATATATCTACTTTGTCTTTCAGGAATGTTATTGTTGCCGTGAAAGTTATTTGAAGGAGAGACTTGTTATTTTAAATCAATGCTATGATGCAGATGGAATAAAGTTAATGAACAATGAAGATGGAGTCATGGAAATAAAATTGCGAGAGCCAGCAGAATGCAAGTGTATAAAATGTGGAAATTTTTCCAGATGAAATTTGACAATGAAATAAACTTAAATTGAGGCAAAGTTGTGATAAAAATAACGAATTAAAAATGTGGAGATACTTGTACCACTGCTTACAATAAATTATATTCATAAAAATATGTTTTCTGTATATGCTTTACCTTTCCAAAATATCAAATATTATTTTTTTATAATAAAAAATAAATGAACTTCATTATGAATATTAGGAATATTAATAAAATACTATTGATATTAGGATATGAATCCAAAAATATTTTAATCTAAGTTAAATAATTATAAATTAGTAACAATATAGAGTTAAAGCTTTCAAAATTTTTACTACGCTTGTTATAATTCCTACATAAACTCCTAAGAGCCAAATTGTTATATATTCATATATGATAATATTAAAAATATGATATATTAATGATATCAAAAATCAGAATATTGGATCTGTGGATTCTATATTTTTCTTTCTAATGCTTAGTTCCATTTGACCTTGTAACGATAGTGTAACTTTTTCAAGGCAATGATTAAGAGAATGACTTTTAGCATATCAAATATTATTTATATAAATATCATCTAAATGAATTAAATAGATAATAAACTTATTAAATAAATAAAAATTTATAGCTAGTATATTATTTAAGAAGCATGTTATAATAACTGTTTAAAAATAGAACATTATATATTCTTATATTGTGATATATTAATATTTTTGATTATATATATTTATAAAAATAATGTTAACAAATGAATTTTAATAATACTCATTTTATATATACACATAGTTTCTCATTTTATATACATACATACAATTTACATCATACATACATACATACATACAATTTACATCATACATACATACATACATACATACATACATTATACATACATGCATACATACATCATACTTACATACATACATACATACATCTATTACATACGTACATCACACACATACATCATATACATATATACATACATTCATACATACATACATACATTCATACATACATACATACATACGTACATACATACATACATACATACATACATACATACATACATACATACATACATACATACATACATACATACATACATGCATACATACATACATGCATACATACATACATACATACATGCCTACATACATACATATATATATATATATATATATATATATATATATATATAAAATTGAATATATATTATATATAAAAGAAGAATAATATCAAATTAAAGAAAATTTAAAAATGAAATTGATGATATTTTTAAAAATAAATACTTAGATAAATATATCAATTGAAATATTTAAAAATAATATTGATATTCTGTATTTAACCATTGATATTCTGTATGTAACCATTATAGCAACACATACTGAAAATTTACACCATTTATTACTCTTTAATAAAATGGATTATTTTATTAGTTTTAACTACGTGATACCTTACAGTAATAATCTTTTATTATATAATATTTTAGAAGATTATAAATACTAAACATTTATAAAGAAGGGAATATATAATAGTGTGAACTTGATATACACACCCTTAATATCATTTAGAAATGTAGTTAAGAGAAGGGAGGAAAAATAGCCACCCGTAGAGTATAAAAGCTTACAGCAAAGGCTCAACAAGCACAGTAAAGTGCCAGAGAGCCAGCAGAATGTATCATAATAAAAGGATATTGTGGTGCCACGTTGGTAAATAAAAAAAATATTATTTTTAAGTATCGAATATAAAAAGTATTAAAAATAATCGATTTTAATAACTTAAAAGTTAAATGTAATAATATCGGATTTTATTACTTACTGCGTAGTTATAACGAGTATGCTGATGTGTATTCTATTTGAGAATACTAAAGCAATCGTAGGAATTGACGAATGTCAAGCAACTCCTGTGATACACTTTCTTCAATATCCAGGCTGTATTCCAAAACCAATACCTAGTTATGCTTGCAGAGGACGCTGTAGCAGCTATCTACAGGTAAAATAAAAAATATTTTAACTATGTTATGTTTCAAAAAACAATCTGAACTTTTAAAAAGAGTTAAATCTTATTATACTGTTAAAAAAAAGTTCAAAATAATTAGATTATAACCATATTAAAATTACAGAATATTTAGCAGAATATAAAAATTATTACAATTAGTTAAGTTTAATTAGTTAATTATTTAATTAGTTAAGAATTAATATAACACGGAATTGTTAAGTTTAACATTTAATTTTATAATACATACACACACACACACACACACACACACACACATATATGTGTACTAATCATGAAAACCATGTAATATTATTCCATTATTATTTATAATAAAACTAAAACTTATTTATAATAAAGCGCTTAAAAAAATATTAGAGTAAATTAAAACATGGAAAACATTCTAAGACTCAAATAAATGTCTTGATTATTGTTTAATTAGATAAAATAAATAAATAATTTCAAATAAAGTTTATATTATAAAGAAAGCATAATATGATTCACAGTAAAATTTATATCCTTAAGCAAGTCATTGTTTTGGATGCTATTTCGTAAAAATATTCACTAATTGAATGTATATTACATTTAATCGTATTATCTTAATCGCATTAATTAATATGATTATTATATGGTAAAGTTTTAACTTACCTTTCGCTACAGGTGTCCGGATCGAAAATTTGGCAAATGGAAAGAAGCTGCATGTGTTGTCAAGAAAGCGGCGAAAGGGAGGCTAGTGTATCCCTTTTCTGTCCGAAAGCAAAACCAGGAGAAAGAAAATTCCGAAAGTTGAGTTTATTTTTTTAAACTCTTTATTGAATTTAAAAACTTCTCGCGAAATGCCATAAACTTTTTAAATTCGAATCGATGTGTCGTTTTCACATTGATGTTAACAGCAAACCGTTTGACACCACGAGTTTTGTACCGCCATATTGTTTTCGTGTAGAAACGGCCAGTACTGAAGGTATAGAAGATGACGATCGCGGGAATTTCAAACGATAATTAAATACGCGCCTCGTGATGAACTTTAAAAAAATAATTTTTCAATAATTTCTTTTTTTTTACGAAATTCAATCCATAATTGTTGTTTTCGAATTTGAAAATTCAACTAACATTGAAAATATATCGAGAATAACTTCTCTTATGTTTTAAAAACATTTTCATTTTTTGAATTTTATAGGTTGTTACCAAAGCCCCGTTAGAATGCATGTGCAGACCATGTACCAGCATCGAAGAATATGCTATAATACCTCAGGAAATAGCTGGATTTGCCGAAGAAACTCCATTTACAACGTCCGCTCATTTTAGACGATCGCCTGGCCTACAATAATTTCATTTTAAATCTCTCGATGTATTTAAAAGATGTAATAAATCAATGTGATGAAGAAATGTAATGTAATTCTAAAATAACAAATATTTTCCCTTTACTAGTTTCACAATATAAATTAATAATTTACATACTTAAACGGATATTATGTTTTTACATACACGAACATACATGGATTTGTACAGTTTTTATTTAATAAAATTATAATTTTTGAAAATATTATGAATTCAACTTATTCTTTAATCCATATATAACATTTTTATAAAAAATAAAACACTTCATGTCTGTATATTAAAAAATTTTCGAACGAAATATAATTATTATTCATTATTTAAATTCAAATTGATTCACAATAATAATTTATTCCCGCGTTCTAAAAGTTCTAGGAAAAAATAGAAACTAGAAAGTAGAGTTAAAAAAGAATTATGATTGGATGAGATTAGCGCACTCTTTGGGCATAGAAACGAATTAATCGTAATTTAGTTAAAGAAGTTGCCACACCTGAGAATCAACTTGTATTGCCCTGAAGTCAACTCCAGCTTCGTTTTTTCTGTGGAGGAAAAGATACTCTTCATTCGATTCGTGTGGAGCAAAATGGCCGCCCGCCCGAAGTGAGTCTGACGTTTCGTAAGGTGTTTATGACATTTTTTCGTGTAGTTTTTATAAAAATTCGTTTTATGTGAGACAGTGCCAGTGTTTTATCTATGTTTGTTTGCATCTTCGTGAAAATAAGCTGGCTGAGAGCATAGGTAAGTCCGATATTTTTGGTTAAATACGCGCGCAGATGATAAAATTTGTATATTACGATACCATCAAGTAAATTCAAAATTTCTTTGACACGTACGTTCGGCATATTTCAAAAGGAGCATGCACAAACACAATTGTTCATCGCGTTACGATCTATAGATAATATCGTTGCGTGCTCTTCGGCCCACGTTCGATCGTTGAATTATACCGGGTGTATTATTTTTTTTCGGAATATAAGTGGGCGTTATTTAAATGGCACAGACTATTGCATGCAAACTACGTCTGTTAAGAAGTTTATGTAAATAGTTTCTATTTTGTATTCATATAATTTGGGCTTAAAGAATTGTATGTGTGTCAAATGACACTATTTAAAGTATGCTTGAAAGTAGCGCATGCGAATAATCTACAATGATCTTAAAGATGTTATTAAATATTATTTCCTTAACGTCTTCTCTTAGTTTTTAATATTTCTTTTCAGTTGTACAGAGTATATGTCTATGATTATGTTTATCATGATTTTTGTATCAGACGTATAAGATTCTAATTTTAATGTACTTGATAGTGTATTGATACACAGATATTATTTACAGTGTTTTTATACAAAGATTGTACTCAATGTTTATGTGTATGTATTAAAAGTTCGTATCTAGAAGAAATTAAATATCAATGAATAATATATTGTTCATTGTAAGATATCTAATCAGAGGGCTATGAACATTACTTATTTTAAAGACCGAGTATACTTTAAGATTAGTCTCTTAAAATATTTTCCATTAGAATATATCAAGATGAGAAACAAATGAAACACAAAATATCCCATAGTATAAATCTATCAAGACAGAATTTTTTGATCAGTATTCTCTTCCTTAACGTATGAAGAATAGTGTGAATCAAGTAATTAATGCATTTGGAAGATAGCAAAGTAGTCAATGTTAGTATACAGAATCATGCGAGTTCTAGCAATTAGCTATTGGCTAATTATACGGTTAACGGTCTACGCACGCCATACACGGGGAATAATTTAGTCACAATGCGTTATTGTACACTGTAAATGGAGCGTTCTTCCTCTCAGATTATATATATATATATATATATATATATATATATATATATATATGTATATGTATATATATTTCTTTTCTTTTCTTCAACTTTTTTTTTTCTTCGGTTCGCACTGCCGCTCATTTTATACGAAGGTTAACCACGTTGGATTATTTACAATCGTGGCGCGCTTTCTAAGGAGTTCGCGAGTGACTTTCCTCGGTAGTTAAGACTCTCTCACGCACTTCTTACCTAATTAATTTGAATTACGGCCGTAAGGCTAGCAGGGTGAGAGGTAGAGATTGTAACCTTGTGCCCGTTGTTGATACGATAGCGGTATCGAAATATCGACGATCCAGCTCTTGATCAAAGATCAAACTTTCGCTTTGTTTCGCGATATGGACATACTTTATGTATAAATTATTATTATTATCATTTATATATATATATATATATATACGCTTGCACACACACACACACACACATATGTGTGTGCTTCCGCAATACAATTTTTATTTAAACCATTACTTATATATATATATGTATATATATATATATATATATATATATATATATATGTATGTATTAAGAAACATTCCCCAAAAGTAAATTATTATACAAAAAAGTTTCCAAGCAATTCATTCGATCCTCTGTATTTTAATTGGTAACCGAGCGTTGATTACATTATACGGGCTTACTAGCATGTGGGCTCTCATTAAAATGCTTGCATCGCGTGATATCGGATTCGCGTCTTATTTCGATCGTTTCAAAACGGCTATTGTAATAACGACAACGACAACGACAACGACAACGACAATGACGAAGCTGACGACGCTGACGCTGTCAACTACGGAGCTTCGAGTTTCTACCTAAAAAGAATTCTTCGCAGAACGTTTTCTTGATCCGTATATAATTTAAATTTAACTCACGCACCGTAAAGTGGCTTTGCGATCAAAACAGATTTACATATGTCGTGTTGTTTCAGTGGGACGATATTCTTTGGACGATGGACAGTCAATCTGCAGCCTAGGTAATATTTTACGATTCAACAAAATAATGTATAACGTTTTTCCGTTCGATTTACGATCCTCTTTGTAACGTATAGGTGGATATATATAAAAAAACAAAACAAAAAAATCCCGCCCCTCCCCTAGCCCCCCCAAAAAATAGATAAATAAAAAAAGAAAAGATTGTTTCTTTCGAAATTATCAAGTACGCATACGTCGAATAAAAAAGTTTCGTGACGAGGGCCGGGGGCAGGAAGGTATTCCGGAGAGAGAATTCAGCCGTTTCTATTTCTGAGTTTTTGGAATGCGTTCATCCTCCTTTGAGTGTCCAAAGTGCGCTTTTAAATGTGGTTAATGTATGTATATATATTTCTTGTTATAATAAAATATATAATATTATATTAAAATATATAAAAGTATATAAAATATATATATATATATAAAAGAAAAAAATATATATATATGTATAAGATAAAAGAACATATATAGAAGATAAAAAACATATATATATATATATATATATATATATGTAAGAATATATATATATAAGAAAAAAGAGAGAGAAGGAAAGAAAACAAAAAGAAAAAAGATGGAGACACAAAAAAATATTCCCGTAAAATCGGCGAACAATCACATTGTCATTTTGATGGGCCAGATGGGTAAATGATGGGTCATGGTACAGTAACGTGTACTGTTAAAGAGCAACGTGCAAACCGAGCGAATCTGTTGCACGTTCTCAGCCCTCCCGTCGTTTTCCCTTTCCCTATTCCGATCTCTCACCGTCTTTCCTTTTCCTCTCTCTCTCTCTCTCTCTCTCTCTCTCTCTCTCTCTCTCTCTCTCTTTCTTTCTCTTTTTCTCTTTTTTTATCTCTCTCTCTCTCTTTTTCTTTTTTTCTTTTTTTTTCTCTTTTTCTCTCTCTGTCTCTCTTTCTCTCTCTCTCTCTTTTTTTTTTGCTCTTTCTCTCTTGTTTTCTCTCTCTTCCTCTTTCATACTAACCAAGATACCTCGGACCTCGTACGATCCACACGGTGATATTAATAGTACGGTACGTGCGTACAGGACACCGTCTCGAATGAGCTTTGCATAAATTACCGGCGAAATCGCCAAAGAGAATTTTGCCGTTTATTTCCATCGTAATCTCTACCTGGTGTGCCAAAATACACTTGTGAAAGAAAGAAAGAAACAAAGAGAGAGAGAGAGAGGGAGAGAGAGAGAGGGAGAGAGAGAATGAGAGAGAGAGAGAATGAGAGAGAGAGTGAGAGAAGAAATACATATATCTACCATGACAAGGCATCATTCGCATAAATCTATCGACAGTCAACTCGCTTTACACCTGCCAAAATCACTTTTTCATTGACTTCTATCTCTCTTTTTCTCTTTATTCCTTTCTATTTATACTTAAATCTATTTTTAGATCTGTCGTATTATTATTAGAAAGATTAATTGTCTATTTGAAACGAACGAAGAATTAATGGAAAAGAAATGCTAGTCACGTCTACGTGCTTTTTGTTCTTTAAATAATAAAAGGAACAAAAACCGACAAAAAAAAAACGAGGAGTTTTATTTTATATTATTAATTAAAATCGAAAAATTCAGTGTCAATAATCTGAGAGAGAGAGAGAGAGCAAATTTGACCGATTAAAAAGGATTTATTATTAATGAACGATGTTAAAAATTCAAATGGAAGCGTTTTGAATCATAACGCGAATAAAGAAGTCGATTGATCAACTATTCAAATCAATCGATTTAAAATCACGACGATTATTGCTGGAGTAACAAATCAATGATTCTTCGTAACGAATCGATAATTCCATTTGATAGCTTTATGCGGCGTACAAACGATTCGATACAGTAATCAAATTCATTAATTTCTTTCGTGGGACTTTTCAACGTGTAACGAATGAAAGACTGAACGGGAGGGCAGATGCTTGTGAAAAAAAGAGAAAAGATGAGGCTAGACGAATCGAAATAACTTGATTGATCATTTTTCAAATTATTTTTAAAACATAGCAAAAGAATTTCTCATTATGATATCTCCGAACACTTTTTAATTAATTTAATCATCGTTAATATTAGATCGCTCTAATTAAATATTTTTAAATAATTTTAGAATTTATGGTTTTTATTTTATAATTTATCTATTTTTAAATATTATTTTTAAATATTATTAAATATTATGAAATTATCGTTAATAGTAAAAGTAATAAATTAATGATTAATCAACGAGTTTCGAAACAATTTTATTTATTTGGAAAAATTTAAAAAAAGAAGAAAAAGAGGAGTAAAAAATCGCGATCAGATATTTTCGTGTTACTGTGTATAAAATTTTCATTGGAAACACGACTACTCTGTCTCACTTCCTACGATCTACGTTCTCGAGAAGATCTCTCCATCTATCATAAAACTTTCCTCTCGTCCCACGGTCCTCATTTCGCTTCTGTCACTAATGCACGTGGACTTCTGACAATCAGCTGTGATTCGAGACAGCTCATTCTACGTTTTGACAGTATGGCTAACCTTGAGTGACATCATTCCTATGACATGCACTCGCAAAACGACGCGCAATATCCGAGGGAAAAAACTTATGTATATATATACACACACACATACATATATAATGTATATATATATATATATATATATATATATATATATATATATATATATTTATATATATATATATATCAAGTCTTTATTCATCTCTTGCGGCACTTTTTTAAACCACACACGGATACGCACTTAGATGAGCATAATATGATTAACTCATGTCTTCATCCGGATTTCGCTGATATCGTGCACAGAAAAGTTTGCCATTTAAGAGCACTATATATTCCTCGTGGTTGAATGTTCTAATCGTAGGAATTATGTTATTTGATTATATGACTCATCATCGTAGAAATATATATATATATATATATATATATATATATATATATATATTAAAAATATATTTAAAATAGTTTACAAATTCAATTGTTTTTTTTTTTTTTTTTATACAAAATAAAATGCATTTCATAGGATTTATCAGTTAGGTTATTTTAAAGATCATAAGTGCCTTTATTACTTATGATTTTATCAGGGAAATCATCATGAAAGAGATTATTATAAATTCTTATCGCAAAAGATGATAAATATCAGTCCTTTAGTTTGTCAGTGAAACAGATTATTCATTCATTTTCTTTCGAATATTCGACATTAAAGAATGACAAGGCACGGGAATATTTGTAAGATTTACATAACTACAAATCGTATATTAGTAGACGAGTCCAACTGCTGACGGTGGTAGGGGTGGGGGTAAGGGGAAACTATACATTTTCGCGTGACATAACGCTTGTGCTCGTTACAGACGCTAACCAAGGATAAACCCAACTTGAATTATTCAATATTTGCTTGCGCTTCGCGGATTTGTATCTCCCTCGGTGGTGGAATTTCTCCTCGTATAGTTTACATAGAAAATGAGCGAGAAATTATCGTGTTGCCTTTCGTGCCGCATCAGTTTACCAACTATTGAAATCTATTTCTTTTTCACTTTTTCCCATCATGAAGTTTCTTTTTCTTCTTCTTCTTCTTTTTTCTCTTTCTTTTCTTTTCCCTTTCTTTTTCTTTTTTTTTTTTTTTTTTTTTTTTTTACTCTTTTTTTCCTTTTATCAAGTCCAGAGAAGGGACGTTACAAAAGGAAAGAAAATCGAGTTGTATGCCGTGGTAAAAGCAGCGTATGATGTGGCTTGGTTCAATGACATCTCGTTCAGTCTTCCACAATGCTTGACTTTTGAGTTTCATCGTGACTTTCACTTTTTTAGTTGGCACTCGACGTCTATGATAGTTCCTTCTTTCATACGTAATGTCCCACTGATTTAGTCGAATTCTAAATCTAAATCTAAGCAAAAAAGAATGAGAGAGAGAGAGAGAGAGAGAGAGAGAGAGAGAGAGAGAGAAAGAGAGAATTTCTACTTTACCTTAATAGATATCCAAATATGTTTATCTCGTCATAAGATTAAATCATATTTAAAAAGGGTACCAGACGAGAGCTAATTAAGGAGTCAAAGGAAGTCTTCAAGTTGTTCCATTAAATACAACTTGTGTTTATATATTAGTAATGCCTTATTGATTTCATAATCATTGTGAAAATATATATCTTCGGAATGAATCATCGAGCTCGGCCGAATGCATATATTCACGTATCAGCGTCCAACGTGTTTCTAACGTGCGCGGATGGACGGTGCAAGGGCGGTAGTAACAGCAGTAACAGTAATGGCTCGTGTATGGCTTAGAGACAATGGTCACTTAAAACTAAATGCAGCGTTTAAAAGAGTCACCTCGCAGTCCATGGTCAGTTAGTAATTGCTAGCTCGATGTCCGACGCTTCGGATAAGTTAATTTGCGAAACGAGCCTCATAAACTCCTACGCGTTCGAGCGATGTCCCGAAATTAGCACGAGGATGTCCACTTCGTGTCACGATTTCGTTCTCTTTCTCTTTCTCTCTCTCTCTCACACATACACACACTCCCTCTCTCTCTCATTGATGTCCAAATAAATTTAGATGCAACAGAAATTGTGCAAAGGACAATGACATCGCCGTTGTTAGAGGAAGGATGAAAATGATGACATCGATAATACAAGATTTTTTTAGAGTATATACGGTAACGACGAAGTCATAATTTTCGTTCTTTTTTCTTTTCTTTTTGTTTTCTTCTTTTCAGATTGATAAAGCTCACTGTGTGGCAGTTGCGATGCCAACTTATCACAATGCGGGTGGTGGATACCCGAATGTGTCAGCGCCAGCGCGGCAAGCGAAGCTTGATGGCAATCAAAATCATCACACAATCCCTTCAAACGTAACGACCCACCCTCTCATTCAAAACACCACCTCGCACAACGCTCCTCCAAATCTGTCAGCGAGCAACATTCCGTCCCATCCAGTATCACCGACGATGACCACTCATTCGAGCGTAACATCTCCAAACCTGACGAGCCATATGAATACGGCGTCCTCACCGGTCCTCCTTACTTCGAACGTCACGAATCCCGGAAATACCACTGCTCTATCGGCCAATCCAAGACATGAAGTCAAACTGAATGCTATGCCGTACGTATGCACAAGTATATAGAAGCTGTTCAATGAATAGCAATGAAAAAAAAAAAAAAAGAGAGAAGGAATTTTTATTGAAAAGATAGGCCGATCTCATGTAGATAATTAAATAAAATGATGATCAAATCGTTTTCAATTTAGAATTATATATCTTGACTAATTTGACAAGTATTATTTATCCTTGAAATTTTGAATTATTTCACATCAATGAAAGATACTTCCTTGTTTTGCGTCGTTAAATGAGAAATGTTCATTTTAAGATCTAACCTTGTTATAGATGGTTCCATGGGAAGATATCTAGGGAAACTGCAGAAAGGTTGTTACGACCCAGAGAAGATGGTCTGTTTCTAGTTCGAGAGTCGACGAATTTCCCCGGAGACTATACCCTCTGCGTGTGTTATCAAGGACGTGTGCAACATTATAGAGTAAAATACAAGAATAATCAACTGACCATCGACGACGAAGAATTTTTCGAGAATTTAGCGCTCTTAGTTGAACATTATGAGCAAGACGCTGATGGTCTTTGCACTCAGTTGACGAAATCCTTACCGAAACAAGGGAAACAAGACTTTTGCGTCGATCCCAAGGCCTTCATCGAAGCTGGCTGGGTTATTCAGACTCACGAGTTAGAATTAAGAGAGTGTATCGGTAAAGGTGAATTCGGTGACGTTTTACTCGGTGTTTATAGAGGAGAAAGAGTGGCCGTGAAAATGTTGAAAGACAATAGCGAAGCGGCGCAAAGGTTTCTAGCCGAGGCAAGTTTAATGACCTCGTTGATTCACGACAATCTCGTTAAATTACTTGGTCTTGTATTCAATAATCAACACATGTACCTGGTTACGGAATATATGAGCAAGGGATCCTTAGTGGATTACTTAAGATCTAGAGGACGATTACACGTTTCTAAAAAAGATCAAATCAATTTTGCCTAGTACGTAATCTATATAGATTATAGTTCTTAACCTTTACGATATTCCTTTATCCCAGGAGATCTCGTTGGTCATTGAACGAACGATCGGTTTATTTTCAGCGATACGTGTGCCGGTATGGCATACTTGGAGTCGAGACACGTCGTCCATCGCGATTTAGCCGCAAGAAACGTTCTTGTTGCGGAAGACAATTCCGCGAAAGTTTCGGACTTTGGGTTGGCACGAGACGAAAACTTCTCTCTCGATGGTGGAAAGTTGCCCATCAAATGGACCGCCCCAGAGGCTTTAAAGCAGAACGTAAATATATTATGACCGGCACTACCTTCTGACAAAAAAGCTTTTAAGCGTTTCCTTGCACGACGATGCATCTCATCATTTGTTTTTCAGAAGTTTTCTAACAAATCTGACATGTGGAGTTTCGGAATACTCCTTTGGGAAATCTATTCTTTTGGACGTGTGCCCTATCCACGTATCGTAAGTAATTTTCATTTAAAAACGACTTTTATTATCTACATATATTTATTCCTTTATTCTTATCATACCGTACGGGAACTGAATTATTTATATTAATATGTTCGTTCTTAGCCTTTAGCTGACGTTGTCAAATGCGTGGAAAAAGGTTACAAAATGGAACCACCAGATGGATGTCCACCCGAAGTATATGACATTATGAGACAGGTAGATGAACAAAGTTTTCACGTAAAATTTCATATCTGATGTTAAAAGCTTCTAACGTTTATGCGTTACAGGCCTGGGATCTTCAACCAGAGAAGAGACCTACGTTCCATGATATAAAAGTAACGCTTGGTCAACTAAAAGCAGAGTACACCAAAGGCGTGAATTAAAAAAAAGGCTTATCTTAGGTCGACCTAGAAACGATGTAGAATTAACACATAACAGAACTGATTTGTCAAATACGATGCTTTTTTTCGTTTTAAGGACAAATATAGTGGCTCTAAAAACTTTGATTAGGAGGGACGAAGTGAAGAAAAAGGGGAAAAAAAAAGAAAGAAAGAAAAAAAAAATGAAAAGAAGAACAAGACAAATGCAATTTTTATTGTACATTTTATATGCAATACTATTTGCGTCATCGTTTATATTTATTGCTAATTTAGTTGTCGAGAATATTGGGGAGGTTTTAATTTTTATATGACAATATTTTGCACAAGCATTACCTACGTCGTGCCTTTGTTCAAGTTGATATTCTAAATGAAGAAACTCGACTTGTACATTCTCGAAATCCGTGTTGACTCGAGCCGATGTCGGGTTTTTAAGATACTTAATCCGAAATAATTGCCTATCACACTTAATGATCCTCAATGGACGTACCTTTTTACAGTCTGTTATGATGAAATGTGTGAACGAAACGTCGCCTGATACGACGCCGTTACCGTTTTGAAATACTTTAGAGATTTTTCCATTGCAGAAAATGTAAATTTGACGTATTATGAAGTTTGGCGTTGAAGTGAACTGATTTTAAGATAATTCATATACTGGCTAACGTATCAGTCAGTATAACTTGTCCTTTCGGAGATGAAGTTACGTAACCATACACTTTTTCACTCCTGTAGTACAGTTTAAAACAAAGAATTCCTGTTGTTAAAGTTTCAAACGATCTATTTCAGCGATCGTAGGATTGCGAGTATTCACTAGCAGCATAGATTTTTTAATCAAAGATTTGTCGTAGAAAGTATTAATTTTTAATTAAATTATTGCGATTATAACGTATAAATATTTAAGTTTGCTCACGAAATATTCATTTCATATATATATATATGTATATATATATATATATATATATATATATATATATATATATATATATATGTATATATATGCGTGTGTATGTGTGTGTGTATGTGTGCGTGTGCGGGCGTGTGTGTGTATTTGTAAAAAAATATATAATATATACACACACATATATATGTCAGTGATGTAAATGTATCTGTAAATATTTTTGTACATATTCGTCCATAAAAAAAAGTAATAATATTTCGAGAACCGTTGATATTGGATGAGATATTTAATGAAAAAAATGTCCATAAATTTTTTTTTTTTTTTTTCTTTTTTTTTTTTTTTTAAAGAATATATCCGGTAACTATGAACAAATGAATACAAAAATGCAACGTACGTTAATTATTTAAAAAAAGAAAACAGAAAATGGGAAAAAAAAGAAACTTTGAAAAAGATAAAACAAAGATCTTCAGGAGATGAATGAAAGAAACAAGGCAATGTGAGTATTGCATCAACGGATCTTATCCTTTTAGAGTAATGATCTATGTGTTCTTCCGATTAACGACTAGCATGGATAAATGATCTCAAAATTATTCATATTTGGAAATTCTTAGCGCGTAAAATTTCACGTTTAACGATAAAATGGGTAGGTACCTTGAAATATACAAGAAGAATAAGCAAGAATTTTCATTACGATACTACTACTATTAGATTCTTTCATTTTTTTTTATTTTTTTTATTTTTTTTTTATTTTTTATTCCAGATCTATCTGTCTGGTTGCAATTTAGCAGACTAATTTGAAAGAATGATTTGTTATATTAAAAAACAGAGAGAGACAGAGAGAAAGAGAGAGAGAAAGAGACAGAGAGAAAGAGAGAGAGAGAGAAAGAGAGAGAGAGCGAGAGAGAGAGAGAGAGAGAGAGAGAGAAAGAGAAAAGAAAAGAAAAGAAACAAAAAAGTAAAGAATTACATATTTACAAGTTTCGAATTATTATTATTTAAATAAAATTTCAATTCTTAGCTCCGACTTTGACAAACGTATTTTGAATAAACAAAATGAATAGCAATGAAGATTAATCGTTAGTTGTATAAGTATCTAATATATTTATGCTAAGCGCACGATCCGTTTGTAAGTTTCATATTGTAGTACGTACGTTTGTTGTGTCAGACGTTCATTCATATAAACATCTTACATATGCATGTATGAATGTCTTGCAACGAATGTATCATCGGTACCCATAGCAATAATTCGACATACACGGCTATATACAGCTTTTATCTTCAATTACAAGTTGTCGAGGCAATTAGCACATAAAAGCGCTACCCAAACGAAACATTATCTAAACGATAATGCATTCTGACACGATCAATATGGAAATTATCATTCCTATCTATGCTTCGTCCTTAACTTTATAAAGCTAACGCTTAAATATACTTTCGTTATTATGCAATAAGCGTGCGTGTTCGAAAGAAAATGATGACACTTCACTTCTTCATTTTTCTTTCTTTATCTTTGTTTTTTTTTTTTTATTTTGTTTTGTTTGTTTCTTTTTTTTTTTTTTTTTTTTTTTTTTTCAATAGATTACCATCGATTTTTAGATTTCAACTTATACAATATGTCATTTTTATCTATCACGATATTAAAATTTCATTTATGATCAGTGTGTGAGTTTCAAATCTGTTAATTTTTTTTATTACCAATTCATTTTTTAGACTGTAAGAAATTTAATATATATATATATATATATATGTATATACACACACAAACACACACACATACACATATTTATCTATATAGGTATTAAAGTGAAATTATACTCTGATGTTTATTGAATGTAACAAATGATACGGATTCTACGATCATACCGAAAATTTAATTTGAAATTAGTATTTGTCGAGTGTGCGTGTGCGTGTTGCGTGTGTATGTGTGCGAGCAATTGAAAAATTCTATATGTATGTATACGTTGTCATACATACATAGATATATACATACATATATACTTTTTCATATCACCCCCTTCCTTTCACTCATTTTCCTCCCGCTATAGTATACAAAAACAAATCTATTATTATACGAATATTCGGCTGTTGGATTTTGTTGTAGTATCTATAACTACGCCAAGTTTCTCGAATTCTTAATTAAACGGCTATAGCGGTAAAACAATTATTTGACGAGATAGTAGAAGTTATTAAATAAAGAAAAAGAAATTATAATGTATCTTGTCTCATTGAGATATTCTTTCCCCTTTTCTCTTTTTTTTTATTAAAAATAATTAGGAATTATTTTTATTGGAAACTATTGGTGTTCTTTTTTCTTTTTCTTTTTTGTTGTTTTTTAAAATAGTACTTTCAATAATCATGAAACTCGAAAGTGACGTTTTTTTTTTTATGGATACTCAGGAATCGTTTGAAAAGAAAGTTGCTGTGGTCTTTGTATCAGATTCGTTGGGTATTGCCTTTGACGTGGACGATTTCTCAAGCGTAGAACTAATTTTCGAATTCTTTTCCTTTATCAAAGGCAAGGAAAAGAAGTTTTCGTCTTTCTTGACATTCTTTACGCGAGAAAACGTTCGTCTCCTCTTTTCCTCTTCGGTCGTATCACAAAAAGATTTCCGGTTTCCAACGTGCGTTCGTTTTACGATTGTGAAAGGAGGAAGATTTTGTTTGAACGCGTTGCAGTCTTTGAGACGACTACGGATCAGCAAATTTCTTCGTATCTTGTACGGTCGAGCAAGATTTGGTCTTGGATAGGGTTGCGAGTTGTGACCGCGAAACGAATCCTCAGGCATCAAATAACTTTTTTTATTATCCTTGTCTTTGATGATCATATATCTCAACCTATCACGTATCTCTTTGTTATCGTCTTTCCTTGGTATACGTGACGAGCCATTCCTGATAACGCGTCGTACCTTTTTATCTAACTTTTTAATCGATCGTTTCGAATTGGACGCTACAAAACAATCAAGATTTTCTATTTCATCATCGTCGAGCTTCCTAACGTCTTCGAATATTGCAAGATATTCTTTGCAAGGATCGGCCCAAATCTTTTCGAAATCTTTCGACCTACTCTTTGAATAATAATTACTCGATGTCAAATTAATCTTATCAGGCACAGATCCATCAAAACTCAATGGAATATTTCCGAATAACGGAATTTTATTGATCGCACTACCGAAATATGATATCTGATTACTTATTAAAGAGATTATTTCCGATAATATACCTCTGTTATTTTGGATGGTAATATTCGAAGTATCACGATCGCAATTTACGAACGGAAATCTTGTCGTTTCAGTATTATACTTGCATGTATTTAGTTTGCTCCATGTTTCCTTCGGATGAAATGTATTTTCAGCATCTCGGCTTTGATTATTCAAATGTTTTATACCGTTCTCGTGCTTCTTGATATCTGTAAAGTAACATTGATTCTTTTATTTATTTCTTTCCCTTTCTTCTCTCTCTCTCTCTCTCTCTCTCTTTCTCTTTTTCTATAGCTGAATTAATCAGAGTGAATTAATTATAAATTGAATTTCTCTATATAGTAAAGCTATATATCTTCCTATTGACTTTTCTTCGTGGGATAATTAACGAATTCACGAAATTTTTATTTAACCCTCTATTCGATTCATTTAATTCTCCGTACAATTTTCGTTTTGTCCTTTTATACAAACTCTATTTTCTCTCTCTCTCTCTCTCTCTTTCCATTTTTTTTTTTATCAACCGGCCACGCGTTCAGTATCATCGAAAATCCGTTAATTATCTTGAGATTTATTTGCACCAGATTAGCAAGGACTTACCGATTTTCCATGGGAAGCGATTTTCTGGGAACGATAAAGCCATCGTATAATAGTTCCCTGTTTCCGAGCTTTCGTATTTCGATTCGCAGGATCGATCGACGATATCGTTATCCAACTGAAAATTTCGAGTCAACGCGCTTCGAAATAGCTCGGCGATTGCTTCGGGTTCGTCGTATTTAATCTCCGTCAACATCGATACGATCTTTTCGTTTGTTCCTACGTCCGATTTTTCCTTCTCTTTCACTTCATCTTCTTTCTTTCCTATCGATATTGCCGCGATAGTATTCGTACCTACGCTCTTCTTCAGATCATTTTCATCAGTTCCTTTCAAAACGAAATTCACAGTTGACTTATATAAACTGCCAGATGATTTTCCCGATTGAACTTTCGCGTTTTCCCTTTCATGATTTTCATAACCTTCTTTATTGTTCAGATTTATTCTCATTTCTATCGGATTGCTTTTAAATAGTTTTGTCTTTAATTGTTTCTCTTCGTGATCCTCAGGTTCGACTTTGATGAATGCCTTTGTTACGAATGTTTTTTTAGAATCTCTGTTTTCGATCGTTTTCTCATTTTCGTCTTTAATTTCGGGTTTTACCAAATTACCGATTTTCAAAGTAGTCAGAAATGTTTTCTTTGGTTTTTCAGAAAGTTCATCGGAGATTTTCGAATTTCCTGCTACAGATTCATCGATATATTCTTCGTCAATCTTTGGAGGTTCGATTTTTATACTTGCCGTGCTTATGAACGTTTTCTTAGGACTCTCAACTTCGATCGTTCTCTTCGTTTCGTCTTTAATTTCGGGTTTTACCGAATTACCGATTTTCAAAGTAGTCAGAAATGTTTTCTTTGGTTTTTCAGAAAGTTCATCGGAGATTTTCGAACTTTCTGCTATAGATTCATCGATATATTCTTCGTCAATCTTTGGAGGTTCGATTTTTATACTTGCCGTGCTTATGAACGTTTTCTTAGGACTCTCAACTTCGATCGTTCTCTTCGTTTCGTCTTTAATTTCTGGTTTTACCGAATTACCAATTTTCAAAGTCGTTAGAAATGTTTTCTTTGGTTTTTCAGAAAGTTCTTTCGAGATTTTCGAACTTTCTGCCATAGGTTCATCGATATATTCTTCGTCAATCTTTGGAGGTTCGATTTTTATACTTGCCGTACTTATGAACGTTTTTTTAGGTCTTCCAACTTCAATCGTCTTCTCCTTTTCGTTTTTAATTTCTGGTTTTACCGAATTACCAATTTTTAAAGTCGTCAGAAATGTTTTCTTTGGTTTTTCAGAAAGTTCATCGGAGATTTTCGAACTTCCTGCTATAGATTCATCGATATATTCTTCGTCAATCTTTGGAGGTTCGACTTTTATACTTGCCGTGCTTATGAACGTTTTCTTAGGACTTTCAACTTCGATCGTTCTCTTCGTTTCGTCTTTAATTTCGGGTTTTATCGAATTACCGATTTTCAAAGTCGTCAGAAATGTTTTCTTTGGTTTTTCAGTAAGTTCATCGGAGATTTTCGAACTTCTTGCTATAGATTCATCGATATATTCTTCGTCAATCTTTGGAGGTTCGATTTTTATACTTGCCGTGCTTATGAATGTTTTCTTAGGACTCTCAACTTCGATCGTTCTCTTCGTTTCATCTTTAATTTCTGGTTTTACCGAATTACCAATTTTCAAAGTCGTCAGAAATGTTTTCTTTGGTTTTTCAGTAAGTTCATCGGAGATTTTCGAACTTTCTGCTATAGATTCATCGATATATTCTTCTTCAATCTTTGGAGGTTCGATTTTTATACTTGCCGTGCTTATGAACGTTTCCTTAGGTCTCTCAACTTCGATCGTTCTCTTCGTTTCATCTTTAATTTCTGGTTTTACCGAATTACCAATTTTCAAAGTCGTCAGAAATGTTTTCTTTGGTTTAACAGAAAGTTCATCGACGACTTTCGAATTTCCCGCCGTAGGTTCATCGATATATTCCTCGTCAATCTTCGTAGGTTCGATTTTTATACTCGTCGTGGTTACGAAAGTTTTCTTAGGACTATCAACTTCCATCATTCTCTCCGTTTTTGTCGTTTTTGTTATTGGGATATCGTCGATTTTTTCTTCTTTTACGGCGTATAATTTTTCTTCGAAATCGTTCGTCGAAATTTTCTTTCGCGATTCCTCGGTTAACGCATTGGTCTTTATCTTATCAACTTCTATTACGCCTTCTTCGATACTCGCACTTGTCTTATCTAACTTACTCTCAGGAATTTGAACCTCTTTATCACTCGAAGGAGTTAATTCTTTAAAATGTGACAAATTAACGATCTTTTTAATCTTTTCTTCATCGGTGATATTAACATCGGATATAGAAACTTTCGTTTCCTCTTTTTTGTCCTTGTCGGCATCGTCCTTGAATTCATCCAAAGTTAACTCCGCACTCTCGATACTTTCCCTTTTCTTTTCGCCAACCGTATCGTACGGTTTCACATCTGGCACAAGATCGACATCGGCGCTAACAGAGGGCTCATCAGTTTCCGTAACCTCAGAGATTTCTTCGACCTTCGGAACAGTAGGCAAGGACGGTTCACGGATATCATTCGAATCTATCTCGGTTCGAGTAGGTTTCACTTTACGATCTCTCTTTTCGAAAACATCGCTTGGCTTTACAGTTCGAAGAGAAACGTTTGATGCCAACTTCATGAAGGACACATTCTTTAGTTTAGCCTCGCTAGTCACAGTCACATTTCCTCTCTTGTCGATTTGTAGTTGAAGTTTTTTTTTTTTATCCTCCTCTGAACTCTCTTCAGAGGAACTTTCATCGTAACAGTTACAATTTTTAAGGTTAGTACGATCAGTTCGTTTTTTCTCTTTCGTTTTTGATTCTATCTGAGAACCTTTGTCATTGCACGTGGTTTTCACCTGGTCTTTCTTTTTGTTCGAATAATCGTAGGTCGTTTCGGGACTACCAACATGTGGTTTCAGTCGAAGTTTTCTTGGAGATTTGATCGTAATCGCAAAAGGATCCGGAGATTCCCGTGATTCTATCGTCTTTCTTTTCGATATTGTAAGATCTGGATAACCTGAATGGCTCGAAAAATTACCCGGTGTTTCGGCGAATTCTCGTACGATTCTAGAAGACAACGGTATAGACGGTGCAACATTGCATCTTCTTCTTTCGAATTCAACTTCGATCTGTTGAATCTTTTTCTGAACGTTACTCAATCTGCTTTCAGCGATGACCCGCTGAGAACGATAAGGCGCAAAATTTAGGTTCACTCTTTCGTCGCATTCCTTTTGTTTTAAAATTACAAGAAATTCACGGAGTTCGGCATCGGTCTTCAGAGCAAGAATAGTTGGATCTATCGAATCGGTTGCTTCTATCTATATCGACGATCAATTTGGTAACGATTATTAAAGAAATTTTGTTCGAACTATTGTTATTATCTTCCTACATATAAAATCGTATATCTTACCTCCAAACCCTGAGTTTCCATCAGTTTTGTATTGATCAGGTTTTCCACCTGTGCCTTTAGAACGTTTACTTTAAGCTGGACCAACGTTAGGATCGGAATTATGTTGGCCGGTGGATTTGCGGTCATGTGAAGATTTATCAGAGCGTTCACTTGCTGAGAGTTCCTAGACTCGCCCAATAATTGATCCTTGTTGAGAGCGCTGATAGATCTTTGAGCTCTCTCCATGGTATCCTCCATCGTCGTGGTTATATTCGATCCCGGTATCTTTCTGAGAAGTAATCGGGTAGCTGTGCAAGAAATGATACCTTGTATGGACAATAACTGAGATGCCAAAGCTTGAAGACTGATTGCTGAGGGACAGTTTCTTTTCGAACAGATCGTGTCATCTGTGGTATTAGTACAACGATGTTCTTCCTCGTAATAAGAGCTATGGGGATAAGGTAAAGCAGGAAATTGTTTCGGTCCTGTGATTTCGCCATTGCCTTTCGAAGAACAACCACAATTCTTTTGCTGTTCGTTAGATCGAGTTCCATACGGATCGAATAAAGGAAAAGGAATTGGATAAGGATAAAAGAAAGGTGGATAGATCGGTGGTGATAAAGGAGAAGGAATATAATTTGATTGTTTATTCGAACTTGTCAAAGGATTTAATATATCAGGAATTGGAGTTGCTTGTTGAGTAGTTGTTACCAACGGTTGTTGGCAACCACCAGGAATAATAAAGATCGGTGCTGTGTTAGTGATGCATGAACGAATCTGATCGATTATATTTTGTGGTAGAGATCCGCTATTATTCGCTTGCGTCTGCATAGGTGACATTGTATTTTGACAAGGAATCCCTTGACAGAAATTAGTCGTATTATTTGGCAGTTGCGTTGTACAGGGATATTGTGCTGACGAATAGTTTTCTTGTTGATAAAATTGACCGAACGGACCCTGCATATATTGTCCTGGAGCGAATAAGTTCCATTCGAATAATCGATCGAACGAACGAACGAACGACCGAACGAACAAGTTACGAAGATTCCCCGATAGAGTTACCTTGAGAATTCCCAGGCCAGCCGGAGCATTGCGTGCTTTGTTGATTATTCGTTTGCTGATATGTTTGAAAATTATTTTGATTAGTTTGTAAAGGTACTCTTGATTGACAAGGATTCATTTGCGACATTGCATTGCTATCGTCTAACATGTTAATTATTAAATTGATAATAGATTAATCCTTGTCCTTTTTTTTTGATTGTAATTGCATGAATGTTTGATATATAATGATAGAAACATATCTGATGAATTTATTAAATTTACTTGTAATTTTGAGACATGATTTTGTTATAGATTATTATTATTATTTTGTTCGTGATTTTATTATGGATCTGAAGTTAACGAGTATCGACAGTTATAGAGATCGATTGGTAGTACAACTCGATCGTAACGGATGATTAACAATATAAAACTAATTTTTAAGTATTATATAAATATCTTCTAAAGCTTGATTGATACATCAAAAAAAGTGATACATTATAGGAACGTTTGGATTGCCCCTGAAAATAGACAAGATCTTATACCTCGTTGTTAACTGGGGTTGCCGATTTTAAAAAACTTTACACCCGTGTTCTAATAGTCTCTTGCGAATTATTATTAATATAAAAGTCTTAATCCGTGTGTTCACAATTTCTCAAAAATTATTACTATTTATTTGTAATTCAAATAAAATTTTGTACAACTGCTCTTTATGATCCGAGTGAGAATTTAGTGATCTAAATTTGTAGAAATATAAGTTATCAAAAAAAGTTAAAAGGCTTTAAACGAATGTGAGGAAGGGAGAAAGAAAGAAGGTCGATGTACGATCGACGTGAAGTATAGAATGAGAGGGCAACTGTGAAGTTGATGAAACTGGAAATACATTGATTGAGTGATTTATGATTGTGATCCGTGTTCTGCGTCCCGTATTCTATGTATTCAGATGGCACGATGGTAACTTGCTATTCTACGGATCCGACGGCCAATCTCGAAATCTGGTCAGGTTAAAAAAATTACACTTTCCTAAATGTAAAAAATAAAGTTTTACGACATTTTTACACTTTCCTAAAAAATTGATGATAAAGTCTAGCCAAGGGGAAAATTATTATTTTACATTCCAAATAACAGAATGTTAAGTATGATCTAAAATAATACGAATGTTTTATATATTACTTTGAAGAGAAAACTTTTTCTTTAATTTAAAAAATATAAAAATACAAAAACGTGTTCTTTTTTCATTTTCTTTTTTGTTCTAAACTGTCCGTCATGCTAAAGGGGGCTAAATTAATAATAATCGTAACGCTTAAAATAAAATCGTAACGTTTAAAATAAAAATCAAATAGAAAAATTTTTTGTTTTTTATTTTCTCGATAAGCTAATATCAAATTGATGTGGACGTATTTGTACGATTTCGTACAAAAATTTGTACGAAATCTCTGTATGTAAATATCCTATTTCGATTCGCAAATTTTTGATCGATATATTAAAAATTCGATCGAAAGTCAAGGAACTGTAGCATTTGTTACTTTTTTTCTTTTTCTTTCTTTTCTATAGTCGCGGAAGTTTTTCTTTTTTTTGTTTTCTTTTTTGTTATACTTTTATCTATCGATCTTGAAATACGAGGCCATTTGTTATCTGGCAAAACGTTCTACCGATAGCTGCGCGGCCGTAGGCGAGAGCGACGAGCCGTAAACTCGTTTGTGACGACATTGAGACGCGAACGGCTTGTTATTTCGAAACTGGACGAAAAGAAGGGGGAAAACATACTAACAGAAGTTCATATTCACAGTCTCGGTTCTACGCTTCGTCGTATAATATATATTTGACGATGAAATAACAACCACTATAGAAAAATAGAAATATATCGCGATGATGATATTGTATTCGTGAAATAAAAATTTGTTGTGTTCTCTTTTTCTTCTTTTTCTTTCTTTTCGCACGTCAGTGTTTCTTTGTTCTAATTTTATTAATTTTAGCGATCACGCTACGTTGAAGATTTGGTGTAGTCACGTACAATAATCGTAAAAATATAAACGACCAAGGGAAATAATATTGACGACTGAGAAAATTAAAGAAGATAGAAAACAAGAAGAAACGAACAAAAAAGAAAAAGGAAAAAAGAAAAGAGGAAAATGAAATAAGAACGTGTGTGAACGATTTTGTACAACGATTAAACTCGTATTGCTAGGATCGATTATGCGATGTATCGAGATACGATAATTACAATGTTACAACGTTACCACTGAATTATTCATCGAGAAAATTATATATTTCTTTGGAAAATAATAGTGAATCGATCGTCCGATATATCGCGTACGTAAGATTAACCGTTGAAATAATTATCGAAATATAACGACGGTGTAATCATCGAGAAATATTCAAGCAGTTAGCGGAAAACGTAATCTCGTTGAGTGTCGTTCAATACCTACCTATTAAAGAAAATAATATTCCACTGAAGATATATACTAATGGAGGTGCGACGTGTTAATCAAAAGTTAAAATTTTAACTCATTCGTTAAAGTGATTTATTTCACGATTTTTAAATTTAAGAAGGTGTATCGACGGACAAGTTTGACGAGCAGTTTATATCCTGTTTGCTGCTCCTTGAATTCATTAGTTAAAAAGTTATATGTATATATATATATACATATACATATATATACTTATGCAGTTAACACATGTGTATGTACAAACGAGTGTCAGTAGGTCCAAATTAAACTCGGCAGATATTCCAGAAAGATAAACGTTATCAACGTTCGATTCTCGCGGAAGGCACGTTTTAAACTGTGTATATATATATATATATATATATACGTGTATGTATGTATATGTATATATGTATGTGTGTCGAGTCAAGTAGAGTCGCCATCGAAAAAGTTGGTATAATTTACGAGCGTACGAAAACTTAAACGAGTTCCAACGAGAAGGAGGCCGCAATCACTTCCACAGTTGCCACTGCCACTATCGTTTCTGTCCTTAATTGCTTCAAGTATTTTATTTCAGTCTCTTAGTTTTAAAAACCGTACGAATGAACGAATTATATCTTCACAGTTAAAAAGATATAAATACGATTTTACGATGGCGAAAGAAGGATTGAAAGAATATAACATGGAATTTATTAAAACTGATCTTTTACCGGAAATGGTTCATAATCGATGTTTTTGTGAATCAGGTTCACGCGAATTTGTCGAATTCGAATCGGCCATCGTCGAATCACTCGTAACGCCTGATGATTCGTTAAAACCATGGGAATTGTATCGTGTTAAAGCTATTGTAAGATTTTCCGGTGAACCAATGAGTTTTCCTTTGATCGTGAAACTATTACCGTCATCCGTTCAGTCGGAATACTCATTCGCCCGTTTTCAAAACGAAGAAATGTTTTACAGTAAAATGATTTCTTTGTATGGCAAAGATCTATTTCCAAAGTGTTACGCTTCGGACATGGGACGATACGGAATGCCGGTCATCGTTCTCGAGGATTTAACAGCGAATGAATATGAAACGATTCAAGAAAATAGAAGGATGAACGAAGAAGAATTGAAGTTATCTTTGAAAAGTCTTGGAAGGTTTCACGGGATAGGTTTGAGATTGAAAAATGAAAAGTTCGAGCTTTATCGAGAATTTTACATGAAACTATCGAATACTGTCGTTACGAACGAAGTATCTGAAAAGTGAGTCACATAACCTACGTTCATCGTTCATTCATCATTTAATGCCATTATTTTCTTTGATATATCTAGAAAAACTATTTTTTTTTATCATTTAAGTAATAAAAAAAAATATTTTAATTCGATGTTCACGTTGACCTTTTCCTTTTTTCTTATTATTTTTTTTTTATTTTATTTCTTTGTCTTCTCTCCTCTATCATCCAAATATTTTTATCAAAAGGAATAATAAACGTATCTTCCGATTATTTACAGGTCCATAATGTTTTCCGATGAAAATTCGTTGGAAAATTCATTAATGGTAAAAGAGATGAAGAAATTATGGTATAGTAATATCGGAGAGAATGTTAGTGAAACTTGTACGAACGTCGATGATATCTCATGCATATGTCATGGTGATTTTTCCAAGAGGAAGGTGTTGTTCAAACGTGAGAAGAACGGTACGCCGATCGATGTGAAAATGATCGACTGGCAAACAATGAGATATTGCTCGCCTGCTATCGAACTCGTTATCATTTTCATCATGAATATTCCGACGCCATCTCGAGATCAGCATTTCCTTCAGGAAATATTGACGGTCTATGTTGACGCCGTTAGAAGTGAATATACCACGATAACGTGTGAACGATTGATTGAACAGTTATCATCAACATCCTTAGGCTATTTTACATTATTACTTCAAAAGGATATCATGAATAAAGAAATAGCTCAACAATGGATAGAGTTTATTCAATCTTTACGCGATTTTTTACGTGATTGAAAGGAGAAATTAAATATATATATATATATATATATATATATATATATATATATACATATATATTTGTATATTTATTATTATTTTTTTATATATAGAGATTAATTATTAATAATATAATCGTTGTATATCCGATTGATATCGATGTATGTATTTATTTCAATTTTATATGTAGTACAATGTAACGCTTTGCATTTTACTATGCTTGTTTCTTTTTCTTTTTATACGAGCGTTTTTGGTAAAGAAAAAAGAAAAAAGAAAAAAAAAATAAGGAGGAAAAATCTTGAACTTGAGGTCATCGAAAAAAAACGTTCTTTTTCTGTGCTCTCGTGTTGAACATACGGAGATAGAATTTTTCAATCCCAATATCAACGTATCGATATTGCCGTTTGTGCATATATATATGTATATACCTGTATACTGTAATGTAACACCTATGTATATGTACGTTATCTTAATATACTCGACTATCTCTTTCAATATTTTTACAAAGATAATGTAAAAAAGTGTATATAGAAGAAAGACTAAATGAAAGTTAAAATAACCGGATATTAAACCTCTTTTATCGATTTGTTAAGATTTTATTAAAATGTAATTAAAAGCATTATTACTCACCGGTTCTATAGAAATAATATATATATATATTCGTTAGAACATTTTTACTTATTTTTTGTTTCTTTTCCCTTTTTCCTTTTTTTTTTTCTTTTGTACTATTTCACAAAACGAACTATGTAAACTTTATTGATCCATATCTTCACCGTTTTCAGCTTCCTCTGTAGAAATATGTAAATGGATGAGAAATATAAAAGAAAAAAGAGAAAAAGAAAAAGAAAAAGAATTTTCTTTCCCCTCAACAGATTTGGAGATTAATTAAATAGAACTCAACTTTTCGAAGAAAGCTTACCGAGATTAGCGGGAGTTTCTTGTATCTTATCGGCGTCGTCAGGTTGTTCAAGTTTCGAGATTGGATACGAGCTTGGATACGAGCTTTGATTTAAGTTACCAATCAATGTATCATTGAAAGGTGGATTTCGTGGGATCCTTCGTTGAAACGAGAAATGTGATAGGTTTCGTGCTGATATCCGATAGATGATGACCATTATTAAAATTAAAAGAAAGAGGGTAATAACGATTCGCACTGCGACGCATTTCGTTTTTGTCGCGACGGTTACGATTGGTGTGCACGGAGGAAGATTTTTTCCTGGTGGCACACAGCATCCTTTGAATTGATTGTCATCGGAGTACATTTGGTACGGTTTGTAAATGCAGTCACTTTGCGAGAAAAACCACTCCATTCAGAACTTTTTTAATTTCGATAATTTCCGTTGAAAAATGAGAGAGAGAGAGAGAGAGAGAGAGAGAGAGAAAGAGAGAGAGAGAGAAAGAGAGGAAGGGTGGGAGGGGGAGAGAGAGAGAGAGAGGTGGAGAGGATTAAAAAAAAGAGAGGTTGGTTTCAAACAACTTATTTTCTTTCCTTTTTTGTTTTTTCTTAATTAAAACGCTCTTCAATTTTCAATCGATCGAATATATTCTTCCGAAATGAAGTTTGTTTTGTCGATCGATAATTTTCAATAATCGAGATTTTCTTTCATAGTATTGAACTGTTCTCGATCGACATCCATTTAATTCATGCTCACATAGGTATGTAGTCGACGTAATCGTGGTTATAAACATCCACATTTCGAGTAGAATGAAAATGAACGGAATGCTCAGAGTTTTACGTGAGTTTACTCTCATCTATGCCTTTGACGTTCGTTGAACTTTGAAACGCGAAGCACACGTTCGCGGTTTGCGATCGTGACTTTTCAAGCGACCGCGGCCGTTAGTATATGTGTTTGTGTGCGTATATATTTGTATATATATATATATATATATATATATGTATATACGTATGTTTGTATATATATATATATGTATACACATACGTAGGACATTCACGTTTTTGCATGGTTAGTAATACGTGAACAGTTTTAATAATACGCTTTTGGACAATGATAAATCGTTGATGGTTCGGAGAAAATTTATGATTTATGTTGAAAAATTTTAAAAATGTAGAAAAGTATGTTTCTGACTCTCCGATAACTTCTTATAAGGTTAGCGTATTTAACGAAATCATAGATGTGTATGCACAATAGATATGTATAGAAAATATTACATACTCTAAATTCTTATCACAATATAAATCGGCTTTCGAAAGGGAATCGTCATAGTACTTTCCTCGTTCAAATACTTTTTAAAAGAAGCTTTTGATGAAAATCTTCGAAAGATACCATGTGTTTTCTTTAAAATCATCTTTTTCCTCAATGGAGTTCTATTTTCGAATACTAGTCTCGAATGTTACTGAAAATACGTAGATAGGTTCATTTCTAAAAGAAATTCACTTAACATCCGACAGTGATATTGGACGAGTGGACCACCAAAAAGATAAGGTTCTTGGCTTTTCTACAGTGATTCCTTTAAGTTTACCTTTGATCTTTATTTAAAGTGAATGTATATATATATATATATATATATATATATATATAAGTCAGAATATATATATATATATATATATATATATATATATATATATATATATAAGTCAGAAGTCTATTCTACTTATACTTAAAAAATTTTTTATATTTTACAATGAAATATTATCTGTTGAATTCTTCGGTTCACGAGAAAATGTTTACGTTGATCATAAAGTGATTATAAAAAACGAAAAAACAATTTTTTTTTATTTTTAAAAATTTATAATTAAAATTTATTAAACTACGATGGAATGGAAGAGCGATACTGCAATGTTAAATATCTTGGGAAAGTATAGGCAGGACAAAGAAAGTGTTTCGAACAAAGGTTGTTCGTTTTTCATTTTTTGCGTTAAAATACAATAAAATGTTAGAAAATTTACAGATTCACATTTTACAAAATAAATTTAATTTTGAAATAAACTCGAAAACTTTTACCCAATTGGAAATAAATAATACCGTTGTATTTGATATCGAAAGTAAAACAATTTTTGTTTAAAAAAATGCAGTATTCTCGAGATATCTAAGATCTTTCAATTTAAAATCACTCTGTATATATATATATATATATATATATCTGTCGGTGATTATGAAATTGTTCTAAGTCATATATTTTTCGTTTTAAGATATTATATCGTCATTTTTCAGCTTTGAATTATTTAACAATTATTTTTCTATAATGACAAACAGAAAAAGAAAGTATATTTATTCTTCAGAAAGAGGGAGAAACAGAGAGAAAGAGAAATAGAGAGAAAGAGAGAGAAAGAGAGAGAGAGATTCTTTTAGATAATTTAACAATTTTAACAATAATATCTGACAAAACAAAATTTTCAATTATCTCAAATGATTTATGATTATTTTGTTGAACATTTTCATAATAATCAGTTCATGTCAAATTTTGTATAAAATTTTGTATTCATCTAATTTTCACTAATTTCTTTCGAAAAAAAAATAAGTGATTGTTTCTATTTACCTTAAATTTCACCATTTTAATTCGACGAAAATCCCAAAAGACACCGAACAGACAAATGAACCGAAAGTTCGAAATTAATCTATCAAAGCGTAAAAAACGTTTCGAATATTGAGAATTTTATTGATAAACATGAGGAACGCTAAAACGATTGACGATTCGCAAATAAAATGCTTTTCATAAAATCTCTCTCTCTCTTTCTCTCTCTCTTTATCCTATTGTTTTTCCTTTTCTTTCGATTTTATTTTATTTTTTTTTATTTTTTATCACATTCAAGAAAAATTTAAACAACTAAAATGACAGAAAAATCGACAAAAGACAAAATGAGATAGAGAGGGAGCCTTGCTATTTGTCGTATATATGGTCAACATGAAAAGTGTTATAGCCCGTCATATAGAGGGAGATCATGGAACGTTCGCGTTTACACGCTCGACATTCCATTCTATGAATAGCGCGTATCACGCCAAGCGAAACTCGAATGCATCAAATATTTTTCTCTTCCTCTATATAGTAGTTTCCTCTCTATCTTTCTTTTTTCCCTCTTTCCTTTTCTCTCCCTCTCTCTCTCTCTCTCTCTCTCTCTCTCTCTCTTTTTCTCTCTCTATATATATGTATATATATATATATTTTTTTTAAATCTTTCTATCTCTTTTACTGTCCTGATGTAAGCTATCGTAGAATCGTCGCATAATGCAACTGCGGCCTGGCGGGAAAAACTCCTCACGGCTCTTGTCGTAAAGAGAGCAACACCGTGAGCAATTTTTGGTATTTCTGGTCGACTAAAACCAACAAAAAAAAAAAAAGAAAAAAAAAAAAAAAAAAAAAAAAAAGAAATGGTCTGAAACCGTTCCTCGTAATTCGCATTGTGTACGTTCGAAACGATATCTTTTCTCTCCATTTCTCTCTTTCTCTCTCCCTCTCTCTTCCTCTCCCTCTCTTTCTCTCTCTCTCTCTCTCACTTTCTCTCTCTCACTCTTTTGTTTTCCCGTCGAAAAATATCTAGCAGCTAAGCGAAATACGAACATGAAAAAAGGGTAATGCTTTTCGTAGGTGAAATTTTTCGTTATCGCTAGACGATAGCGCACGTCGCATGCCATCGATATATGTACGTATACGTGGTACGTAACTATATTCGATCAATCGGTCAAATATCGATTTGTTTGGGGAGCGATAGAAAAATCGTGAGGAATTACAAAATTTACGTTTTACAGGAATACGAGACGACTTCACGTACGATATCTCTTAGATTTTTTTTTGTCGAAGACTAAGCGAATTGATGTGACATTTATTTAGTGAATTGATATTTAGAAGCATTACGACTTAGTTTATAAATGCGATGAATTGTTATCTTATTTGTTATGCAAAATTGACGATATATCATATTACGAATTTTGAGAATGAACATATATTACGTACATAAATACGTAAATATATGGCTGCTTCGATCAATGTTAACAATATATATGTATGTATGTATATATATATATATATATATATATATATATACACATACACAGTATAACTAATCTTTTGTTAGAGAAAAATATAAGCGTTCGTTTGAACGTGAAAATCATAAATCCTATTGTAACTTTTTCATTCCGTATTTTCATTCTTTATCCTTTTACGATCCGTTTACGTCCATATTAATTTCATGCTGATATGTATATATATCGCTTGTAGAAAAATACAGATCAAAAGCAATTCCGAGATTATTATATTCTTGTTTTCCAGCGATGTTGCATATCATAGAATGAAACGAAATATTTCTATGTAGTGAAAGGGAATGTTTTA